ATAAAGTTCACGATATCGTGAATTTTATCGCCAATTTTTCACGACGAAATTGACGATATCGTCAATTTCGTGAATTTTATCGTCAATTATTCACGATAAAATTGACGATATCGTGAATTTTATCGCCAATTTTTCACGATTTAGTCTATTCGCGATGTCCCTTCAGGGCCACCATACTGGACTCACTCTTTTTAAAGTATTATTTCTTGGGTCGGGTTGTCCGGACCCTATTGCATATGCAATAGGGTCCGGACAACCCGACCCAAGACCCAAAGACAGCCCGACCCTAAAAAACCCGACCCAATACCCTGGACAACTCGACCAGCAAATAATGCCTAATCGGTGACCATTGGTCTCCCGTGGTCCCCTTTTTCTTATGCCAATTGAGAGCTGATTTGATGAGATAACCACATGTTAGTGTGCTCCCGAAAATCCGTCCCTGATAATACATCAAGTGTCAGCAGTATGTTGAAAGAACTTGATTGGACCACTCTTCAAGAGCGTAGAGAAAATGACAGACTAACAATCACGCTCATCTTCCGGCTCACCCAGTCGACGAGAGCCACCCAACCACATTCCCATGCATTCCTATCGGATCCAATACTCAAGAACTGTTTTAAGTCCTCTTTTATATAACATGATGACAGGCGCGCCGAGAGCAGTTTGGGATTGGGGGGGGGGGGGGGGCGGGGGGCAAACATTCCAGGGGGCTCACCTTCCAGGGACAGTGACGTAATGAGCAAAAACGTTTGGAAGGGTGGAGGGGCAGAAGAAAAATCTGCATCACCACCACTCTTACACGTTACATGCAAAGTGGAGTATTAACGATCAGGTAGAGCGTAAATTATTGGCTTGTGGTCCAGGGCCTGAGCCCAGGCAGGGGGTCAAGGGGCTGAGCCCCCAGAAGCTCAGGGTTTTTTAGGCATTAAATTACGGTCAGATAAGCATATTGGCGCTAATTGGCGGAGATTCCGGGAGCAGAGCCCCCGGAAGCTCAGGGGTTTTAGGTATTCAATTACGGTCAGATGAGCATCCACTGGCCAGGGTTAAATTTGTAGACATTGGGACATTAATTTTGTTCGGTAATTGGTGGCTAGTTTTGTCGGCAATCGGTGGTCTCTACACCCCCCACTGAAAAAGGTCTAGCGACGCCCCTGTCCAAAGCCCCGCCTAATTAGGGCCCTTGGTGGGGTCCAGGGGGGCAGAGCCACCGGAAGCTCGGGGGTTTTAGGTATTTAATTACGGTCAGATGAGCATATTTTGATACATCATTTGTGACATTGGCAGGTCACTTTTTTTCTCTCTCTCTTTCTTTCTTTTTCTCTGTAATATACTTTTTCAAAAAGCTTTGAGAATTCATGCTACTTGTTTTTGTAATAGATGCCATGAAATAGAGACAGTAAAACACTTTTTAGTATATTGCCCTAACTATGTTATAGAAAGGGCTATGTTTTTAACAGAAATAATACTTTAAAAAGAGTGAGTCCAGTATACAAAAAGCTGTTTAATCACCATGATCAAAGGGACTGCTTCGTCGAAAGTCCATTTGTAGTAGGTCCATGGTTTAATGTACGGTTCGTTCTCAGAACGAAACCGAACGAAACGGTATCCTATCTGGAAGTAATACCTCCCCGGTGCAAGGGTGTCGATTTGTATCCGTGGTTGGGGGGATGATAGGTGCCAAAATATTTTCGGCACTGGATCAAAGCAACCAAAGTGGTAGAAGCGTGTGGAAAGTTGTACCCCTCCCAAGCGCGTAGCCAGGATTTAATTTCAGGGGGGCGGTAGTGAGCACGCGAAGCGCGGTTCCTAGGGGGTTGGGTGCAGGGAGGGGGAGTCCCCCCGCCCCCCGCGCAAAGCGCGGAAGCTTTGACGTTTCACTAAATTATTAGAGAAAGAAGACGATTCGTTGAACCGTTCTCGACTCTTAATCCTTGTTTGAATCAAATTCCCCTTCCTCCACGCGTAGCGCGGTAGCTCTGACGTTTCATTAGATTATTAAAGAAAGAAGACGATTCGATGTACCATTCTCGACTCTTAATCTGTGTTTGAATCAAGTTCCCCTTCCCCCGCGCGTAGCGCGGAAGCTCTGTCGTTTCATTAAATTATTAAAGAAAGACGATTCGATGTACCATTCTCGACTCTTAATCCTTGTTTGAATCAAGTTCCCCTTCCCCGCGCGTAGCGCGGAAGCTCTGACGTTTCATTAGATTATTAAAGAAAGAAGACGATTCGATGTACCATTCTCGACTCTTAATCATCAATGTTTGAATCAAGTTCCCCTTCCCCGCGCGTAGCGCGGAAGCTCTGACGTTTCATTAGATAATTAAAGAAAGAAGACGATTCTATGTACCATTCTCGACTCTTAATCCTTGTCTGAATTCATTTTTGCCCATTCCTGCGCGAAGCGCGGAAGCTTTCACATTTTATTACATTATTAGAGAAAGAAGACGATTTGTTGTATCGTGTCCTTCATGAATTCGGTTTCCCCCCTACCGCGCGAAGCGCGGAAGCTTTAATGTTTCAATAAATTATTACTCTTAATCCTTGTCTGAATTCATTTTTGCCCATTCCTGCGCGAAGCGCGGAAGCTTCCACATTTTATTACATTATTAGATAAAGAAGACGATTTGTTGTATCGTGTCCTTCATGAATTCGGTTTCCCCCTACTTTAAGCTTCACGTTTCATTACATTATTAGCAAAAGAAGACGATTAGTTGTATCGTTTACTTTGACGTTTCATTTGATTATTACCCTTAATCCACGTCTGAATTCAGTTGCCCCCTTAACAGCTTTACAGTTCGCTAAATTATTAGAGAAAGAAGACGATTCGATGTACCATTCTCGACTCTTAATCATCAATGTTTGAATCAAGTTCCCCTTCCCCGCGCGTAACGCGGAAGCTCTGACGTTTCATTAGATAATTAAAGAAAGAAGACGATTCTATGTACCATTCTCGACTCTTAATCCTTGTCTGAATTCATTTTTGCCCATTCCTGCGCGAAGCGCGGAAGCTTTCACATTTTACAACATTATTAGATAAAGAAGACGATTTGTTGTATCGTGTCCTTCATGAATTCGGTTTCCCCCCTACTTTAAGCTTTAATGTTTCAATAAATTATTACTCTTAATCCTTGTCTGTATTCATTTTCGCCCATTCCGCGCGTAGCGCGGAAGCTTTCACGTTTCATTAAATTATTAGCAAAAGAAGACGATTAGTTGTATCGTTTACTTTGACGTTTCATTTGATTATTACCCTTAATCCACGTCTGAATTCAGTTCCCCCCTTAACAGCTTTACCCTGTTCGCTAAATTATTAGAGAAAGAAGACGATTCGTTGTACTGTTCTCTATATTAATCCTTGTCTGAATTCAGTTTCCCCACTGAAAATAAGTTGTGTCACAAATAAGTTGTGACATAATAATCTTTCTCCAAAAATTAAAAATGTTTTAGGAAATATCAGGAAATAAAATGAGTGAAAAAAATAAAAATAAAGATACAATGACGTGAATTTTAAAAAGGGTGAACGGAAACAACATAACAACTAGTGAACTATTTTATAAGTCATACTAATGTCCGAAAATCTTTCTCCTTGTCTCCGATCTCATCACGAAATCATCACAGAGTTCATCTATGTTTACACTGTCCAGGATTGTCTGGTGTGCATTGCAGATTGCTACTTTTGTGCTTCGCGCTTAACATTTAGCTCGTTGCTTTTGATGCTGCGTCTTTGCATTTGGCGCACTGCATTTCTATGATGCTGTTGATTGAACAAATAAATTCATCAATTCCTGATGAAGCCGTATGAGCGAGAATTCAATTTATTGTTGTCTCATATACGGTTGTCTTATTTACTTGGCAACAACGGACAAATTCAAAAGACACATAGATAAGCATTGGTGGGAGTATTGTTTTGATCTCCCATGACTCCACTCCTGTGCATGCGCATACACTCAGTAATAAATCTAACAGGCTAAACCTAGAAGCAGTGACCGGGAATTACAGGCCAACGCCTTCTTCCTGTACCAGATGATGATGATGATGATGATGATGTATGTATGTATTATGAAAATGAGATAGCAAAATGTGTATATTGATGGTCATATTGATGGTCATCTTGCGAGTAATAACCATTAACTACTCTCATCGGACTCTCATCATTAATTTTTCTCTTCATTTTTTTTTAAATTTTTTATGGTGAATTATTGGGGGGATGATTGTACAGGCCACCCCCCCCCACCTGAAATATTGGGGGGGGGGGGATATATCCCCCCATCCCCCCGGGATCGACACCCATGCTCCCTTGTATAGAGAACAATAAACAGTAAAACTATTATAAATATGCTAAATTACACTCAGTACATTAGAAATATAATAACATGATGTAATAAGAAAGGAAAATAAGAAAAAGCAACAACAATGATAAATAATAATGATAATGATAGTAATGACGATTATAACAATAATAATAATAATAATAATAAATAAAATATATAAACATGAGTAATGTAACAAACCCAACATGAATGGTTTAATAAAGAAGTGAACATCGGAAGCTGTATTTTAACAAAATACTCTTTAAAACAAAACTTTATTTTGGACAAGAATAGAATAGATTATTGAATATAGACTTTCTAGAGGCTTGTGTAGGTACTATCTTATATACATAGGTCTACGTATGTATGGTGTGTATGTGATATAACAAATAATCTGCACTGTTAAGAAACACTAACAAAGCCCATGAATGTTTTGCTTACGATATTATTTTTCGATAGATAAATATTTATAAAAAAAAATAAACATTAAAAAAAAAGAAAAAAAGAGAGATATAACACGTGACGTTAAGTATTTTGGCAACAATAGACACCAACTGACTAATCACCAACATGCCAAAACATAATAACAACTGAATCGCATCGGCATTCATTCTTTCCGAGAACAGTAAGGAGTTAAAATTCCCTGCCCTCAGAAATTGTTGCAGCGCCATCTGTTGGAGTATGCTCGAGTTGTCCAGGATATTAGGTCGGGTTCTCAGGGTCGGGCTGTCTGTGGGTCGGCCTTGTCTAGGATTCCAAAATAGTACACCATTATCGGTACGGTATCACCATCAGCAAAGTCGAAAACGCTAGCACAACATGGCATTAAAAAGAATAAACAAGGTAAGCCCATGAAATTGGAACATTATCATGAGCAGTTGAAGATCTTTGTGTTAGTGCTAGACCAAAAAGTCAGTCTATTTATTTCGTTGGTCTAGACTCTAACTATCTAGTCTATAATTAATCTAGACTCTATTCGGACACTTCATACGCATGCCATTACTATAGATCTAGGTCTACTCATTACATTAGCATTGATTGACTCGCTATGCTTTGCTGGAGTGATTGTAATTTGTTTTGAGAGTCGATGCTACATGTAAGTGCAAAAATGGGTAGAGGTCTATTGACCTCTAGAGTCTACAGGTACAGTACAGGTAGGGAGGCCAATACCCAAATCTAACATTTTAAATACTCATTTAGGGTAGAGTGCCCAGTATTCGGTTACTTAACAATAACAGCTTAGGGTAGAGCGCCCAGTATTCGGTCACTTAAGGGGAAATCACTAATATTTTGAATTCTCTCCTCTTTTATTTGGCAATCTACCCATCAAAAGAAAAGAAATTTATTCCTCTAACAGGATTTTATAGTCACTTAAAATATAGAATAATGATAAGCAAAATACTTCCGAAAGAAGACGGAGCATTTTTCTGCCCAGAATTCGGTCGCGCCGATTAGAATTCGGTCACGCGATTTGTGCGTGGTATCTCCGTTGCCAAATAGCGAAGCGTATTTGCGCACTATTTTCACACAATTGCGCGATAAAGCACTGAATGTCAATGCGTTGACCGAATACTGGCCGAGCGATACCGCATGGCAAGGGTATCGTATAAATACCTCTCGCACATCGGCAAATGCGTCATTTGCAAATTCACTGCGATGGAGTGAACACGGAAGTGATTCTCTTCACACACATACTAAATTCATTGCGATAGCACACGCAGTTGTTTCGCAATAGACTTCTACATATGGCTATGCATGTTAGCGCATGTGCTAAGAGAACGCAGAAGTGCAGAAAGTCTTGCGACACTGACCAATTTTGAGCTAAGTTGGAGATCTTTCTGGGGCCCTAAATCTGATTTAATTTTGAGAGTTAAGAAAAGTTGTTCAGCTGCCTGATTTGTGCAAGTTTCGTGGCTCATAAATTATTTTGTAAATTGTTAAAGCTGTTGAAACGGCTGTCTGACCGAATAATGGGAATGGACCGAATACTGGGCGTGCTACCCTATAATAAAACAAAGTTTAAACGAAAGTAAATATCTAAACCAGTTTGGCAGTAGGGGCGCTGGTCCGAGAATGAGGATCGTCCTCATAAACGAGGATATCCTCATAAACGCGGATAAAATGCGTCCCCTTAAACAAGGATCCTCTGCATTTTCGCGGACATTTTTTTTCATCGGGGCTCTGCGGGTTTCGGGTTACCGAACCGCCCGCTGGCAATGCCAAATTTGGATTCCCCAGGGGAACATAACCGTAGAGCTACATGTAGTTGACCGTCTACTTTTATGGGTTGTCCGTCTTCCCAAGGATTTATTGCTCATAATGTGAAGGTCTCTGTACAAAGTCAATGTAAAATGCATCAAGAAAATCATCCTGGAATCCGTTTTTTGCATCGCCAATGTGCCGATCAAAAATATGGAACATCTGCTTTTTTGCAGACGATCCTTGTTTTTGAGGACGCATTGGTCCGCGTTTACAAAGACTTTATGATCCTTATTCTCGGACCAGCGCCCCTACTGTTAACTAAGCCATTACATGTACATGTAACTCACCCATTTGCCGACTCAATCAACGAGAAGTTACGAGATCCAATTAACATCCATCTCGCAACACCATTCGCAATCGACTGCTAGTGCTACAGTGCTAGACTCCAGTAGCCTAGTACTTTTAAGTAGGGTAGCGCGTCACTTGAAATATAGAATGATGATAAGCAAAATATTTCCGAAAGAACAAGGAGCAGTTTTCTGCCCAGAATTCGGTCGCGCCATTTGTGCATGGTATCTCTGAATATGACGCGCACACAGGACCGACTAAGATAATTGCTTTCTTTCAAAACTAGGTCTAACATTGAGGAATGAATAATTAAAATGTTAGATTTTGGTATATGCCTCCCTAATAGTAATACTAATACTAAATCAATATCAATATCAAAATCTAACATTTTGATTACACATTTCTCAATGATTGTTAGAAGTTTAACTAGTTTTAAAAGAAAGCAATTTTCTTAACTAAGTACATGTATTACAACTCACCCATCTGCTGACTCCAGAAGTGTCATAAAATAGGAGATATCTAGCTCCAACAGGGAAAAAGTTAATATTTATTTTTGGGGGGCTACCTATTCAACCTTGCCTGCATGAAAATAACATTCTAAAATTTGTTTTGCATTGAACTCAATGCAAATTTAAGGGGGCTCTTTTCTGATTTTCGGGGGCTCTTTTGGGCATTTCGGGGGGTATTTCGCCCTGACCCCCCCTTGTATTTTTTTCACTGAGCTCCAAGGCAAAGTTGGAGATTCCTTCTACGCTAATCCGTCTCTAGGACCAATAGCCTTGAAAAATTAATTTCATGGTCAATAATTTACGTTCATAATTAGACAGGCCGGACGGAATGTCATTGCCGGGAAAAAGTAAAAAATTACTTTTTAACTTAGCGCGAAAGCACAGTCACTCGTCAGCCGTTAGACTCGAATTGGTCGCACACACTGACACAGACAAGCTGCAATCCAGGCTGAAATCGAGCCTACTACGAGCCAACGTTGAATAAATATAAAAGTTGGCAGGAAAGAACTCGATCTAATTTATTAATAATTACTGTAGATTAGAGTTGTATTCCAATATTCCAATAACTTGATTTCCTCATGAGTAATGATTTCAGTCTACTAACTGTACAATCAACTAGAACGACATCCAAAATCAAGCTTACAGCGCAAGACAATCCAGAATCTCAGAGTATACTGCATGCATGCAACGTACGCATGTGTAAGTGGATCTCTATCTCTCTCTCTCTCTCTCTCTCTAGCTACATGTATACGTAATCACTAACCATGGATCATGCAAAAATTATTTTTCCCCCTCTTCACATCACTCAACCTTCTCTTTAAGTTTTGTTAAACTTACGGTAGTTACTGTAGTTACTGTACATGTATATTGTGTATATTGTGTAAATTTATTGATGTTAAAAAAGAAAAATAATTCAAAGTTTGTTGCCGTTTCATATTCAAATTGGTAGTCAAATAGCGCACCTGTACTTCCTGGTATTAGTCCCATTTTTAGTTCATGTGTGTAACATATAATTTTTCGGGTGAGTACATGTACTTGTCTGCACTGTATGATGATTTTCCATAAAATACATGTACATGTATACAATTACCGGTACATGTACTGGTAGCCAAATAATGAACTCAACAAGTCTCATTAATTATCTGATTGTGACTTTACATGTACATGTACATAGTACCTGCATGCAGTGCATATTGACAAATGCACAGTCATGTAATCATGAGTTATTTATAATACAGTCAAACCTGTCTACAGCGACTGCCTATTAAAGGGAAACACAAAAAGTGGTCTTTGTAGACACTAGACAGGTGGTCTTTGTAGACAGGTTCCTTTAGTACATGTTTAAATGAGAAACCATTTTCAAGGGAAACCAAAAATGTGCTTGTTGTAGACAGGTGGTCACTAAAGCAGGTTTGACTGTACATTGTACATGTTACATGACTAAACTGCCTAATACCTGAGGCTGAGGAGTAAATTCTGAGTATGATTTGTTAATGTATTCATGACTAGATATTAGTGTCGCATTTCACCAACTTTGTACTTCCTCATTCATCATCGGATTGTTATGACTTTCCGTGCTTGCAGTGGTGCAGTGCGTATTGAACAATGCCCAGTTTGTAAACATGAGTTATTTGTATAATACCATAACTAAACTGCCTTTAACATGAGGAGTAAGTTCTGAGTATTCTTTGTACAGTAAATTTGTTTCATTGAACTGAAAGTTGCTCTTTTGTCCTTACCCTGTACATGTATGTACAATATGTTTTCAGTTTCCTTTCATTTGTAGTTTACCTGAGATACATGTACATGTTCAGTAATCACTCTGTGATTTCAATCATTTTATTTGAAATTTGTTCTGTACAGGTGAAAAAAAAATAAAATTATTAAACCAATAGTAATGGTCGGATATGACCTTAAACTAAAGTTGTTGCGATATGCCGATGATACATTATTTTTTGTTCCGGATGAAACTTCATTAAAGGGAATTTTACATGAACTGAATCAGTTTGGCGAAGTAGCATGTTCTAGAATTTAGACAGCCATGTTATGGTTAGGAGCCATTGATAGAAGTTGGAATTTAGAGAAACATGATTTGAAATGGACTCACAAGCCTAAAAAATATTTAGGTCACTACGCTGTACATATATTTTAATAATAATGAAGCTCTAAAGATGGACTGGGAGCAGAAGTTGATTAAATTGAGGAAAATTCTTGATAGCTGGACAAAAAGAAGCTTACCTAACCATTTTTGGAAGAGTCACGGTACTGAAAAGTCTAGCACTTAGCCAAGTTACTCACTTGATCATGGTTGATTCCATCCCTCCAAACTTTTTGAAGATGATAGAAGGCATTATATTCAAATTTATTTGGAGTGGGAAAACAGAAAAAATCAAAAGAGTTTCTCTTATGGAAGACTACAGTAAAGGTGGTATAAAAATACTTGACATACTGTAGAAAAAGGCAATTGTTCAGCTTCCGACTGCAATGGTTGGGTAGATTTTTCAAAGAGAGTAATGGAGCGTGGAAAATAAGGCTGTGCACAACAGTGTAATGAGGTACCCGAGTACACTCCCATGCTTACAAGCGAATACTCGAGTATTACATTTTTTTCTTACTGGTTCAACTTATTGGGAGGCATCAATTTACTGTGGAGCTGCTCTTATAATATAACCACACTTATGATATTTTAGTTCAAAAGAAAATGTTTCACAAAGACTAAAGTAAGACCGACTTTATGTTGGATTTGGTACATGTAACTACAGTATGGCAAGGCCGTTCATGCCCCTGTTAGCTATCACTATTTACTGGCATCGGTCTCTCAAGGGACGTGCAAATCATGGGCACAAATCTACAAAATTTACATATTTTGATGATTTATTATTAGGAGGAGAAAATATTATCTAAAGACCATAATTGAGAGACCAATGCTGAGACAGAGAGCAACAAGTGGCATGAATGGCTTGCCATAGTTAAGTCCAACTCAAAGTCGATCTTAGGGCGTGTTCACACCGCAAGGGGGGACCGTGGACGGACCGTGGATCGCGCTATCATAGCGCGACCCACGGTCTGCCCATTGGCATTCGTCGGATCCACACCTTTGTTGAGAGGTCCTGTTGCCATGACGCATGACGTCATGAGGTCAGAGCGGTCAAAGATTTTGCGCGCTATTACGAACCGGAGTGTTGAGTTGTACCGATTCAGATTCAGATCGCACCAAAATAGAATGAGTATAAAATTCCCCGCGTGTAAAACGTTGACTTCCGGCGTGCTATCGTAGCTCGGGTTGACCCCGGCAGATATAGCGCGGTCTAGCACGTGCTACACCACGCTATCTCTCGTGGACCACCTCCAAGAGGTGCTCCAGTGGCACGCCGTTTTGGCTCGCCGTGGCTCGCTGTTGGGCGGACCGAAACGACGTTGTACCTTCCACACCGCAGAGATAGCGCGAGATAGCGCGCGCTAGACCGCACTATCTTTGCCGATGTGAACAGCCTCTTTATAGTCTTTGTGAAACACTCCCCAGGTGCGCTTTACATACAAGAAGCCAAGCCACCATTATTATTATATATTATGATGTTTTTCATGTATTCATGACTGGATTTTAGTTTGTCATTTCACCGGTGTATTTCCTTGTTCTTCTTCTGTCACAGGAGTACCAGGATATAAAAAGAGATCCCCCACAACAATGTTCAGCAGGCCCTGTTTGTGAGGATAATTGTAAGTACATTTACTCAAGAAACCTCCTTAAAGGTACCGGTAATACAAATTTTTGGTATGGTGTCATGAATTTGGTTCAAATGAACATATTGGAAGCATATACGATCCTACAATATTCAGTGATCGTTGTCGCGGTCGAAATTGACTCTAAAGTTATGAAATTGTAATAATAAACACTTTATGTTGAATAGCTCCCTCTCAAGGTCAAGATATTATTTAATCTATAAAACAATGTTTCTTGACTAAAATCGACCGATTAGCTATTACCGTTTGGAAATTATATATCACAACTACATATCCTGAGAATTTCATGGTCGCAGCTAACATTATACGGCCGTAGACGCTATTTGAAATTAATCAAAATTTACAGGGAGCACCGGTAAATTTTTATATTCAATTTTTCTCTAAAACAAAAGTGTTTTAGGTGTTACATTTTTTATTGCCTATAAAACATCTACAGGGGCATCCAAATATATCAAAATTGTAAAGAATCACTATCCACCCAATTTTCAAAATTTCCCAAAACTTTGTATTATCTTTAAGGGTCTCATCCTTATTCCTTCTCTTTTCAATCAGAAATTTCTTTCTCTGTCTATATCAAATAGACCTGCCCTCATCAGCTCGAGATTGCCAAATATCCCGCTATTTGAACTATGTCCAGCCAATTTGCGTCTTCATCAGCCCGAAGTTGCAATTAGCGGGATATTTGGTCGAGATAATCATCCCAAGATATCTTGGGCTATTTGGCAAATATCCCGCTATTTGTCCAGGGCGTCCTCGCCAGCCCGAAGACTCGCACTATGTGCAAACTGAGCAATATCAAGCTTCAAGTTTCAAGGTCGAATCTCGAGCTGATGAAGACGCGATTTGTAACTTCAGGATTATTTCGCAAATCAGAAATAGCGGGCTATTTGGCAATCTCGAGCTGATGAGGACAGGCCTAATGAGTACAACTCTCACCTGACGTTGTGGATACTGTCATCATGTCAACATACCTGTGTCAATAAAAAGCTTGATTTTATGCTCTTATCGCATTCATCACTTAATCCACTGGTTTGAATGTTCATCAGAACAGCCTCAAAAAACATATACATGTACGGTATATATCCTCAGGAATGATATTAAAGATGAAGTTGAGTTCTGGTCTTGGATTGCATTGTGAAAGAAACGGTGTGGAATCGAACAGAAAAGGTTGATCATCTAGCATATCACAATTTGTGTGTCTTGCAAGGTTCTGGAATCATCAAAATTATAAGAAATTTGGCCAAGTCTTGGTAAAGTTACAAACACTGTACACAGAAAGATGTATATGGGACTACACAAACACGTGGCGTAAAAATCCTATCCCCAAGTTTTACGATGTTACATGACATATTTAGAATATGAAGGCATTTGAAGAGCCATGCTTTTCAGGGAACATGTCTCATCTGATGTTCTTCCACACTTGCATAATAAGAATGATAACGCACACAAATTATTTTTCACCTCTTCCCAGAACTCAACCTTCTCTTTAAGTTTCCTTAGTAAATATAAGAATAACAATTTGCAATTTGTTGCTAGATAATGGTGCGATTCGCCAGGATGATCTTTTACCCTCCGATATCCAACCTACAACTATGCTGTTGCCTTTTAAAACCCCTACAAAGCCTGTCAATTTTTTCTGTTGAGGCTGTTGACGAGGGACAACTAAAGTCCTCAAATTAATTCTGCAATTCAAGTTTGAGCATTGATTTCTATGGTTCATAAAGGCTGATAAAGGCGGAAAACTGATGTGTTAATTGTGATGACCTGAAAATCAATTAAGCAAATGTGTGTGAGCAAATCGCCCAAAAATGCATCCGTGCAGTGTTGGCATGCCATTTTTTTTTAAATTCATAGCGCCGCCTAGGAAATTACTAATTTATTCCACAAACTACTGATTTTGAGCCTTGTGATTACTGATTTTCTGTGCTGGAGGTTGGCAGCTCTGCAAAAGTCATGTCAAAGGTCACTTAAGCCTTAGGTCAGTTATGCTGCAAAAAAACTTTGCATGAGATTATAGATAATCTTGAGATTTGGTACCAATCAAAACTAAATTCAAGAGTAGATTTATGTGCATTCATGTTGAACTTGAATCATTTTCTTATTTTTTACCAACAGATTATCATTGGCAAGCAACAATAATGGGTCCGGTAAGTATTAAAATAAAATAAAAATCATTAACAATGTACGCCCTATATGTAGTGCATTTTCCGTGTACATGTTCAAATGTGTTTTACAATTACATGTATGTTATTAACAGTGGAGGTGAGTTTTTGAGATAATTTCTGAAGGTATTGAGTGATTGCTGGTTCCAAAGAAATCTGGTTAGGTTATCTATTTTAGCAGAAAAGAAAAAGAAAACAGTTAATGTTGCATTATGCACATGTATTACAGTATGTCTCCCCCCTCCAAAAAAAAAGGTAAATACAAGTACCTGTGCATAGCATTTTTATAGTAATTTTGTTCATATTTTGTCTAATATTTTTGTGTAGCTTGTTTACTAGTTTGTAAGCATGCGTAATGCCCACTATTATTCTGACCTTGCATTAACCCTGTCTAAACTGATCATTTTTTGTCATATTTTTTTTACTCACAGGGAAACAGTCCATACCAAAATGGTGTATTTTTCCTCACGATTCAGTTCCCAACAGATTATCCCTTCAAACCTCCCAAGGTGAGTCTAAAACTAGTCCAAGCTCAGTAGCTTGAATATTAAATGACCAAGATTTAGTAGATTAGTTTATATTTTAAATGTTTATAATCTGAATGGTATCCACCCTCAAAATTTTCGTACACATTTATTTTTTTGTTAGAAAGGCTTGAGTGTTGATCATTCTTTTTTCCCCCCAACTTTTGGTCTGTTACCAAAAAATGATTTAGAGAAATAACATATCACTGTTCTTTAGACATTGCATTGACAAGTACATGTACATGTATGTGCGGCATGCATGTGGTGAAGGAAAGGTTTAATTTGAAATCATGTGTTCCCAGGGGAAAAAATACACAGGGGCTCGGGGCGAAGGAGCCCCCGAAATGCCAAAAAGAGCCCCCGAAAGTCATAAAAGAGCCCCCAAAATTTGCATAGAGTTCAGTGTTATTTTCATGCAAGCAAGCTTGAAAAGTAGCCCCCAAAATTGTTTAAATATTTTTTTCCCTGTGTGTTCCTCGATATGCTAAGAGCAAAACCTCCCAATGTTCATACATGTACATGTAAATACATTTTAATATATAGCCTGAAAAACTGTGGAGGCCATTTTTGATTTTTTGCGATTAAAATGAGCAGCTTTGAAAAATTGGGAGGGCTCCTCCTATACTGAGTAGGTTGTAATGAGTGTTCATGCCAAATTCGGTGCTTTTGTCCACTCTGTCATGATGAAAATGGCCTCAAAAGCTCTCAAATCCTTATTGTATTTTATTTTGTGTTTTAAAATAATGTAGCAAAATTTTCAATGACAACCTCTCAGTAAATGTCATCAAAAGTTTGTAAGTCTTCTTATTGGAGAATAGTCTAGCATTGCTAAAAACTTCACATAAATTTATAAAAGAATAAAGAAGTTGTGATTGTTTTTGTAATACATCGTTATTTGTATGCCTCCGTCCACCAAAGGTGGTGTCAGAGACATAATGCTTTTGGGTTGTCTGTCCGTCCATCAGTTTGTTCCACGTTTTCGTTACAATCGCATTATCTCAAGAACCACTTCAGGTATAGGTTTCAAGTTCAAACCTGATGAAAGTGTTATGACCATAGGAAGATGATCTGATTAGATTTTGGGGAAAGTAGTTTCATAGAGGTAAATATCTAAAGAGCAAGTGTGGCTGCCTCCGTTTACAACTAGCAAACCGAGGAGTTTCGACAATTACACGAACACCCTAAAGTTGTTATTCACAAGATTCAAATGACGAGGTACGAAGATTCAGTTAAAGTTCACGAACTGTCGTTTATTCACTGGTCATGGTCACCAACCTTCAGATAACAATCTGTAACACAACAGAAAGAGAAACAAACTACATAATGTTCATACTTATGAGACACTACAACAATACATGCATATATATCATGTCAAAATAAACTGACTACATGTACTCCAAAACTCTCTCTTTGTTTCATAAGCAACAAGTTATAAACCTTGGCTAGACAATGAAAATATAAGTCAACTTGCATGTATGTACATGTAATTAACTAATTACACAGTCTATTTACATATATATGCTGCAACAAAAACAACTACAAGTATAAAGAATAATATCCTACTAGATAAGAAAGTACCTGTCTTAAAATACATTATAATACAGTCATCACCATCACAGTGACACTGTAGCAAACATACATAGAGAGCTGAAGAAAGGGATAGAGAGGGGGAGAGAGAGAAAGAGAGAGAAAGAGAGAGAAAGGGTGAGATCAGAGAGGGGTGGATAGCGATGCAGAGAAGAGAGAGAGAGAGAGTTATCTAGTACAATGCACTTCCTTGCCTTCCAAGTTCCAAACTATATATAACAAACAAGAAAGATAACTAATATTCTCTCCTAGGCTTACATTACTTCATAAAACAATTCAACATTAACTACCACTATTATATTAAGTGAGTTCTTACCAATTCGGGTCTGTAAAATGCTCCACAATCACTGGAAAGCAAACTTTGAAGACGGTTGCAACTTGCAACTTTACTGTTGAAACATTCACTTGAACAATGACGATATACTGCCTCTACACATAATATGCGTTACATCTACAACTCAAGTGCATACACACAGAATGCATGCACATACATTGTATGCAAAGTACTTTCATTTAGCACTATAATACAAGGGGGCTTCTGTTAAAATAAAAACTTGTTGCATTGCCCTTTGCGACCGACCTAAAAATCTGAAAATCTAAAAAATTTAAAAATCTAAAAATCTAAAAATCTGAAAATCTACGGTCGGCATTTTAAAAAAGTTTTTTTTTAAAACCGTTTTTATTGTTTTATTGTATTAATGAATAAAAAAATATGTATTTTGTTTGACTTAGGATATAAATGCATAAAATCAAATTATTCCAAACAATCTTCACATTGCTAGCAAGTTGTACAGGTAGTTGAAAACCAACTTCGTCAGCAGGAAAGCACAGAGTGTTGTCTCAACAAAACATTCCAAACCATGGATTATTATGAGGTGAAAAAGATATGAATGGAATGATAACTCTGAAACACATGCTTTAAAGCATTAAAAACTGAGAAATATCAGCCAAAAGAGGGCGGAAATAACAACAAAACATTAAAAACTGAAAAATTTTGGCCCAAAGAGGGCGACAAAAAAAAAGTTTAAAAAAAAAAAAAAATCTTTTCCGACCGACCGACCCATGTTTTGGCACCCAAAGGGCAATGCAACAAGTTTTTATTTTAGGCCTCATATAAGACAAGGGGCTTCTGTTGACATTAGATAAGAGCAGTACAGGCCTAATACATTGACATTGGTAGTCTATGAATTCAGACTGAATTAACTAGTCTTCAATACTAGACCTTATTTAACGAAATCTTGTAACAATCCTCACTACACACTGCTGTAGTGACAGCAGGTTTTAGCATTACTATTGCTATTGCAATATCTCAATGGCTATTAGAGGTATGAGCTTCTCAATGGATGATATAGGAAGACGATATGATTCAACTTTTGGGTAAGTAGGTCAAAAGTCAAAGGTCATAGAGGTAAATTTATGAAAATTATAGGTATTAGACTCATCACAAGATCTCAAGAACTACTACAGGTATGGGCTTCAAGTGCAAAGCTGGCGATGATCTGATAGATTTTGGGAAAGTAGGTTAAAGGTCGTAGAGGTAAATTTCTGAAAACACATGTACATGTTTTATTCAATTTTCAAACAAGAGTTTATTCGTCAAATGATTAGCAGCCAAATGCTGAATTGCACATATGTTACATTTAAAGATATACAAAATAAATCATTGAAAATAGATATATACGAACAAAATTGCAAAGTGTACGTTACAAACCAATAGTAAATGTTAAAAGTTAAAAAGTGATGAGTGGCAGTGGACATTCTCGTGGTGATGGGCAGGAGGTGGGCCCCTTCCCCTTCAAAAAAAAATAATTCATCAAATGACCCCCTCCACCCTATAACTATAACTAGATCCGATTGCTGAAAACTATACAAAAAGGGGATTATGCAAACTTCGCAAAACACAAAAAACAAAAAAACAAAAAACACACTCAAGGACCCACTAACACACCCCCAATGACGAAGACACAAACCGCACACGCAGCACTCAAGCACATACAAATCAGATAGCAAGCGCACAAAACAATAGCCTTGGTATCGCAATATCTCAAGAACCACTACACGTGGGCATAAATCATGTTGAAATTATTCGTATATCACGGACTGTGAGATCAGACCAGGTTTTCCTTTTGATGTCACTCAAAAGTGTTCAGTGTCTTAATCTAACGTTACTTTTTCCATTTTATATACAGGTTGCTTTCACCACAAAAATCTACCATCCAAATATCAACAGCAATGGCAGCATCTGCTTAGACATCCTCAGATCACAGTGGTCGCCAGCGCTCACCATCTCAAAAGGTATTTAGGCATTTCTGAGGGCCATTTTGTTACTATATGTATTTTTGTTGATTCTTTTTACAATGCCTCAGGCACACCTTTGCATATTTGGCTTGTGTATTGAGCACTGTGTATTTATGGCAAGCCGTTTTAACATTTATTCCTTTTTCTTGATATCAAGAAATTATTTTCTGTTGTAAAGCAATTAATTTCTTCATATCAAGAATTCAATTCTTGATATCAAGAAATAGAAATAAATGTTAAAACGGCTTGCCATAACTGCGCAGCAATACGCAAGCCAAATACGCAAAGGTGTGAGTGAGGCATAAGGCCCACTCACAAAGTCCCACATCACATCAGGAATGAACAAGGAAAACGGTAGTTCCACGCAGGTCCGGCTACATCCGTCATTTTATCAATGTAGATCCGGCCACCTTGAAGGATGCCACTGGCGTTCCAGCAAACTCTACTGAAGTTTTGAACTGTTCAAAACTTCCATGGAGGTGCTACGGGTACGTGTTGACGTACAATATCCCAGACACTGCCCAGCACAGTCTTCCTTTTCTCTATTAAAATCCCATCCGCTTCCATCCCGATTGTGGGCATTAAATAATTCCTTGGAATCGATATGGATGATATTAGGGTCTTACAAAGGTTGAATTATGGTTATCGTAATTCCACCCTATGACGACCGGCGCGGGCTGCAATGCATATTCAACAACAGATATTCTTTGGACATCCGTAGAACATCATCGATGCACTCTGGGTAGCATTTAATAGAGAAAAGGAAGACTGTGCTAAGGCAGTGTCTGGGATGTTGTACGTCAACACGAACCTGTAGCACCTCCATGGAAATTTGAACAATTCAAAACTTCAGTAGAGTTTTCTGGAATGCACCAATATTTATGAAATATAACATTAACATCTTCTGATGTTTCTATCACAATCCAATTATCAGGAGAGAAGATGGGTGCCTACGATTGCGCTGCCTTTTAGGTTTGTAGTTGACAGTTCAACTGTCACTGGAGATACCTTCCATTTAGAGGTCCTGCATGTACTATGCAAAGTATAGACATCAATGCTCTTATTAGATGCAAATATAGATGTATTTATATCATTTGGATATATGCAAGCACAGAATATGAAGTTTTGAACGAATAATTTTGATCTATTTTTTTTGTTTTCTGTTTCAGTACTCCTGTCGATCTGCTCGCTGCTATGCGACCCTAACCCTGATGACCCCCTGGTACCTGAAATCGCACAATTATACAAGAGGGACAGAGCACTGTACGAAGCAGAAGCTAAAAAATATACTTCCAAACATGCCATGTGACCTCCCATGTGACCTCTCATGTGACCTCTCATGTGACCTCTCATGTGACCTCTCATGTGACCTCCCGATATTGACTCCATCTCCTTATTACATGCCATACAGAGTAGACTAATCAATTGGAGATCAGTGTCTACCTGTACAGTCGGCATAGAGCAAGATTTTTCTGTTGTCAATAGTAAACAAAAATCATAGAGCTTTCATGAAAGAGATATTAAAGAGACGGAGTGAATCCTCATGTACTTTATAACATGTGCTCTGTTGTTTACCGATCATATGGTTTGAATTTTTCGGTTAGACCATTATAAATGCAGACATGATTCTCATTCAAACTGTGACTTATTACGACCAATATTTGTAAGAATTGTAGATACCGTAAGCTTTATCAGATTATAAAGGTACAAAGCACCATGGATTTAGAGTTGGATTAAAAAAAAAAATATCTGGATATAGTACAGATTATAAGGGAATAAAGCACCATGGATTAGAGTTGGATTAAAAAAAAAAAAATCTGGATATAGTACACTGTAGTTATAGTATATGTCAGACTTCATTCCATTCGGTACTGAAAGTGAGAAAAGTTGGCACAAGGGGGAGGGTAAAAAGTAATTTTTTTAAAAGTAATTAGAACTGTGGAGTATGTGTGTATATATAAACAATTGTTTGTATCAAAATTTGAACCATAGATTTTAATAATGACCTTGTTTGTAAGTATTTTTCTCTACCGTAATCTTTGTAATCCATGCTGTGTTTCTACTGCTGCTTTGTATCCACACGTAGACATTCATGTGAAATTATAAGTTCATGTAAACTTGAAGTGGATTGGATCCAGGTTAAGTATCATTGGGCAATAAGTATTTCTTCTGTCACCCTACATAGTCTCGCTTCTGTCACCCTCCATAGTCTCTCTAATGTGTCTATTCCAGGCTGGATGATCTCATCTGAGTTTCTGTGTCACCATATTATTTCAAATTTTGATATTCTCATTGTATCGATAGAAAATGCTATTCTTAAAGATGTAAAAGTTTCATGAGTTGATTTTACCTGTCTCCCAAGAAACATCAGATTGTCCAAGATATTCTGTGAATAAATCTCAACCATTAAAGGTAATACAAAGTTTTGGGAAATTTTGAAAATTGGGTGGATAGTGATTCTTTACAATTTTGATATATTTGGATGCCCCTGTGGATGTATTACTAGAAGCACTAGAAAATTTAGCCTCTTAACTACATCTGCTTTCGAGAAAAATTGAATATACAAATTTACCGGTGCTCCCGGTAAATTTTGATAAATTTCATATAGCGCCTACGGCTGTACAATGGTAGCTGCGACCATGAAAATATCAGAATATGTAGTTGTGGTATATAATTTCCGAACGGGAACAACTAATCGGTAGATATTAGTCAAGAAACATTGTTTTATAGCTTAATTTATATCTTGACCTTGAGAGGGAGCTATACAACATAAAGAGTTTATTGTTTACAATTTCATAACTTTAGACTCGATTTCAACCGCGACAACGATCACTGAATATTGTAGGACCGCATATGCGTCCAATATGTTCATTTGAACCACATTCATGACCCCATACCAAAACTTTGTATTACCTTTAACTGGCAGCACAGTGTGAGAAGTAATGCAACAGTGCAAATGGTTTATATTTGTTTGCAAACCTCCCTTCCTATATTTCTTCAAGTACATGCATGTTACATATTCTCGTTTTAAGTATTCCATATATACATGGAGGTTTTAGTGATAAGGTGAGAACTAAGTTACTAATGTAAATTATGTGTCATTTCTATTCTTTTTTTGAATTACATGTATATTGAAAAGTGTGTCCCATAAAAGATTGAAATTGATTTTATGGCAAAATTTTTCTATCATAACAAATAATTTCCTTGATGAGGTATACATGGATGAAAAGCTCTGTTTCTTTTCTGTCACTTGAAGCACAGCTTATTATTCACGATTCCCCATCAATAATTCTGATTAAATCTACTCATCTAATGTTTATAACATTGCCACAACTGATATTTTGGTCAAATTTTCCCCATAATGCATCACATGAAATCGACTGGAGTCGCTAGATGGCAGTCTGAGATGTGAATCCTCAGCATTACTATTGATAAGCTGTGCATCAAATGAAAGTAGAGAAGCAGAAATTTCCATAAATGTACAGTATATTTCATTAAGGAAATGATTCATTTCAATAGAAAAATTTTGCCATGAAATCTGTTTTCATTTTTTCTGGGGCACACTGTAGATTGGGTTTCGCTCGTTTCTCATGTCACAGAGCCAATAGTCGGCAACAAAAAACATCTGATCTCAAGAGAATGAATAAAGTGTATAGAGGTGTAAATGATGAAACCCTTGATCATAATTATCCTCTAACTTGAATGCTCAATCACGCCCAGCAAGGGCAACTATAAGACTGCAGCCACTGCAGGGGGCATTTCACAAAACTTGTTATCAGTGACAAATGCCAGTTTTTGTTAAAAGCTACTGAAATCCTTGCTTCTGAATGGCTATCAGCTGATTCGTCACTGATTTTTGTCATTTGTCATAGAAAAAAGGCTTTGTGAAACGGGCTCTGGGTTACTAGGAATGGAATTTAAATATTGCTAATTTTCTTTTTAACATGAACGACTTTTGTTTAATATTGTTTAATTTGTTTTCGAAAAAATAAAAATATGAACAAAATTTAATTATCTGTTCAGATTTATCTTGAAAATCGTTTGCCCCTCAAGTATTGTTTCATAGTGTAGTGCATTGGTGTTGGTATATGCTTTATACGATTTTGATGCTTGTTTGAAAGTGATTACTCTCAATAATTATTTTGCTGTCAATGAGCCAGGTATATGGTATCTATGGAAGAAAAGTACACAAATATATGTCATTGCTAACTTTCTACAGTTGAAATATACTCAAGGATTTATGATACTTTAAAAGGACCTTTTTGTAGAAGGTTAGTCATCACGACAGCAGAAAATCAGAGAAGACTCAGACATAGAATGAGAAAGTTCAGTTTTTGGAAGCGAGTCATTAATGATTTAGGGGTAATTGTGTTGTGTTAGTTGAAAATTGTGTACATTCCGTCATAAAAACCAAGAACATTTATATTTTTATGAATTTAAGTCATTACACAGAGCATTTTCTTCGTAGTGTGGCATCACTCATGATAGAATTGTCAGTTTTCCTGCTCCTACTTTTGAATTTTGAATTTCAACAAATAAGTTTATTTTTGTGTGAATTTGCTTCTCAGTTTCTCTCGCATGTTTCTCTGTTTTTTTAATGAAGTGTAATTGAACCATCAAAATATAGAAAATCATATATGAAATAGACCCTGTTAATACTACCTGCACATATTAAAGGGGGTGGCTGCCCATACATGTATTGGTCATTTCTCAAAATTCCATTGAGACTGCAGCCCCCCTCCCCCTCCCCCTTGCCTTACATACAGGTACAGTAATATACTTTCTTTAAAAACTTTTTTTTTTAGATTAAAAAAAAAGAAGAAGTTTGCGGCATCTTACTAAATTGCTCTTGCACACACATGTCTCCGCCTCTCGTTTTCCTGAGCTTTGTAGGTTGTAGTGAAAAAAAGGATGGCATTTGGTATCATTGAAATGTAAATATAAAAATTGATTCATTGATGGTTGAAGTATCTTTGTCATGTATTCTAAGAAATGCGGGGGGGGGGGGGGGGGGGGGGGATAGTTTGACAGGACTTAAATCCAGTCTGTTTTCGTAATATGGAAATGAGAAGGGAAGGAGCTGATGTAGAAGGAAGTGAATATGATGTCGTCTGCTGCTGACAGAGATTTTTATTAAAGTTAGAACAGGTATAACTATGAGGTATTGTGTGAAACATATTTTGCTCAGATAGTGATTTTGCTTGACACATCAGGGGCCTGTCTTATAAAGAGTTGATATTAATCGCAACAACAACGCAACCTATTTGCGACTGATATCAATCGCAACAATGTACGTGAGAGATGGGTGGCTTTAAACTTGCGATTGATCAGAGGACTTGCTATATGATTTGGATCAATTGCAACTCTTTGTAAGATAGGACCCTGTTCTATGTTTAAAAAAACAGTCACTCATTAAAGATATTTCAACCATCAATGAATTAAAATGACTGTACTATATAGGTACTACAAGCTATAAGCTAAGAAAGATGACCAACAGTCCTCTTCAGGACTACAAACCCTCAAGAAATATTACTGAGAATCCTTTTCAGGACTCCTCAATCCTCCCTCTCTCTCACATGGTGCACCCGCAAGCCTACTGTATATATATATAGGTACTCCGAAATTCATTGACCTTCCCAACCAACACAGGTAACCTCTCAGGATGCTCTTTATTAACCATCAACAAGCCAAAAGGTGCCCTTTGGACATTGTCGGGATTTTCAGCAAGGTCAACAAGTTTCATAGTACCTATATATAGTACAGTCATTTTTACAGATAAATTGTTCCCACAGTGTATGAGCAATTTTCTAGTCTTTAAAAAAAAAACATGTACCGGTTATCGGTCATCCATCCACAAATGAAGCACCTGTTTTTTCAATCATTCACCATCAATCCTTCTCGCTAATAACACTCAAGTCCAGCAAATAATAATAATAATAATAACGTTATTTGTATAGCGCATATCACTAACACAAAGAAAGTCCCTATGCGCTTAGAAAAGAAGGAAAAGGGCAGAATAGAAATGAACATTTATGCCTGATACATGAAAATAACTAATTACACACAACAATAATGATACACAATTCCTAAATCAATCCAAAGCTTTTCTGTATCTTTGATTGTGCGACACTGTCACACCTTTATTTAGCTACTGGAAGGCATCATCAAGTTACTTACATAATGCACCAAGTAGATGAAGACATTGTTTGTTTATTCTCAATTTAGAGAGCAGACCTAGATGTCAATGACTGTGATTGTTAGAAATAATTCAAATAGCAATTTGAACATCAATGTATATTAATTAAAACAAAACAAAACAAAATAAAAAGTAAATCATATTTTCTTAAATATGAAGCCAAGAATAATAGGCAAGCTCACACAAACTTAACCTAGCTACAAATATGGTCAGGAGGGGGTGGGGGGGGGGGGGGAGCAATTGACAAGAACAAAAATCCAACTTTGGTTTGCATTAAAAAAAAATAAGGGCATGAGTAGAGTTCCTACTCGTGCATTGCAATCAGCAATTACCGGTACCGGTACATGTAAACAGCATTGTTATCACAATATTAAATAACTATAGGGCTATGTATTTTACATTATTTCTCTCATATTTCGAAAGAACCCATGTAATATGAAACATTTAATCACCCTGAAGGTTCTGATACTTAATAAATAAATAAATACATATAGCTGATATTAAGGCAGCTTTCAGCTGGTCACTAATCATAACAAAAATCTTCTGCAACATGATTACTATTCAAATTATACAAACTTGTCCCTGATAATCTATTCCTAACTTGCAAGCACAAACAAACATATAGCAAAGCTATGATAGTCAAAACTTTGATGAATACAATATTCCTCCAATCTATCATTCACTTGAGCATGAAAATCCATTTACCCTGTAGGATGAATGCCACCAAATGAGAGAAATAGCACAAATTTATTCAGCAAGTAACATGCTTGAAAATGCATTTTAACAAATGTTATGCCATCCTGGCCGATGAGCAATGAAAAAAAAAATCAAATAAAAAAATAAATAAAAAAGCCTACAAACAGAATCACACATCGTAACAAGACGAGTGTGGCTATGCAGCTAAAAAAACCTCTGCTGAACATAGAAAAAATGTACGTTAAGAATGCATCATCTGTATTAAACCCCATAAGGCATCGGTTCTAATTTGGTATTAGTTATCACAGTAATTATACATTTACTGGGAATTTAAAAACATTTATGACCTGTGAACTTTCACCTTTGACCTCTTGCATGCAAACCAAAAGCTTATCAATTAATTCTTGCATGCTCACACATACTTGGTCCACGTCTCATTTCAATTGATTCAATGCTTTTCAAGTTATCATGATAATGAGATATTTTTAAGTTATCTCTTAAGTTTTAACAACTTTAGGACACTCCAACTGTTGACCTGCAAGCTCTTACACCCAAAATCTAATCCGTTCATCCTTCCATGCACCTACATGTACATACTTCGTCCAAATTTGGTTTGAATTGCGCAACAGAAAACACCTGAAAACATAATAAACATACAATGTTACAGATGATTTAGGCTTTGTATAGAAGTGGCTTAGCCCCAATCACATAGTCACGGATCACCCTACGGATGACCATGGATGGTCCAGCTATATCTGTCCAATCATCCGTGTTGGTCGGGCAGTTTGGGCCACCTTGAACTGAAGAACGTCTGTGGCCAAAGCGATTGATAATTCATCACACACTATTAGAATTTTCCTGGACATCTCCAAGGCCTTTTTTGTTTCATCTTGAGTGCCTTTCCACATGAATAATGCGATCATGTACATTACACATAAAATAATGTACTGCAAGATTTTTGATCATGTAGTCTGAACTTCTGGTAATAATAATCTGGATTTATATCAGCGCTTAATACAAAATGCTATCTCTAAGCACTTTACAGATATTACATGTACATGTACATGTATAACCCTGTCTTCGGATCCAGTCACGCACAATGTACAGTTTTGCACCATGATCTACACTCCCTGGGGAGTATTCCTATCATATGGTCATTGTAGCAATTACTGCCACAAAGGCTTTCGTCATCCTACCAGGTCCCCATTTCTTCCCATGGGTATATACTGGCAAATGTAGATTAATGCCTCGCAAAACGACATTAGTGCCGTGTCGGGAACACATGGCAGCACTGTAAAACCATGCCCTATCACCTGGATTACGAAATGACATGCACTGCATCAATATTCTAGAATCAACGAGGCATTTCATGGCAAACATACACACAAAAAAAGAATTCAGTTTGATCTATTTTTTCATATATCCAACTTGGTAGGTATCATCTTAGCCTTTGATCTCATCTTGACCTGTGACCTCAACTTTGACCTGACTTCATGTGTGGAGTCCTCTCTTGTCCATTTCTTCCTCAATGAAAGATCCTAGAGCCTTGATGAGAGGTGAGCTGAGTCTGCACTGTCTACCAAAACGCTCTGCTATGCCATGTGGATCATCACCCTGTAAAAAGAGAACAATAACGATTCTTACCAGAGCTCATTCTACAGTCGAACCTTGTGTAAGATTACCTTCCACAATTTGAAAAATGATTATTCGAAATCTGCTCCTGCAATATTTACTACGAGGATTAGGGCTTTTGCCAATACTTTGGGGGAGGCATTTCAACTCATGAACTGAGTTACCGGTACAGTTTAGTTTGATAAGGTTAGGCTTCAAGTTACAGTAGTAGTATGGTAGCATACCGTAGAAAAAACAAAATGTTGTGCACTTTTGTCTCAAACCACCAGATTTTGCACATTTTTAAAGTAACCATACTGATCAATATCGGATATGGAAGCACTTTCAATAACTGGTTGAAATTGTTACATTATGGTACAACTTGGAGAGTAAAATCTGGTCTCACAGATGTGGACCCTACCCTAATGAAGGAAGCGGCTGTAGAGGTTTTCTTTTTTTTCTTCAAAGTACATTCTCCCTTGGAACACTAGGTACTCTATCATGGATAGCAATTATTATTATAGGTCCTCTAGAATAGTAGCAGAAGAAGAAGACTCTCCCAAGTCACATATTTTGAAGACAAAAATTATGTTACTTTGTGTGTCGGAACAAATGGGAAAGTAGTCAGGCACTGCATTTCAGGTTGACTATATGAGTATGTCTATATCTAAAATTAAGTAAAATTTTGTCGATAAAATCTATACAACTAACTGGCTTACTTTGTTCCATCAGGTGTTTGTGTCTTTGGGTTACACAAACTTACGAGAATAATCAATCCCTAATTCCCAAAGGATCGGTATAACGTTTGTGAGATACACCCTTCTTATCGCCAAGTGTTGGGTCTAGTTTACTCGATACTTTCAAAAAACCTAGAGAAAATCTACAAAACCTTGCGTCTGATTGTAGAGCATTAGATATTGTTCCCTTTCCTAAATTTTTAATTCAACATGCAACACCTTTTTACTTAATAGTTCTTGCGACTTTTAAGATTAATTGTCAATTTAAAGAAGAAAACATGTAAATGTTAGGATCTCTCCCTGTCTCTGCATTCAACCAATCCAAGTTGAACACTATCCACACAAAAAATGGGTACTGATGCAGATGAACCGCGCTGGAAAGACATCACCTGCAATGATGGAGGTGTCGGTTATGACAGAGCAATGTCGTATTGAGCAAATACAATTTCAAAGCCAGTGTCGCCTATTCTTCAAGGGCCAGCAAAAAGTTAGTTAAACTTACTATGGCGCACAAGAACGGGGCTTCCAAGATACATTTATTGAACCCCCGTTTTTATGTATTGTCTTGGGACGATTCTGCCCCTCTCCTTTATCAATTTCTTGATTGGCACAGGAGGTATGCAAAGCTAGGTATCCAGGTTAAAGATCTACGGTAGGCACGAATTCACAAAGGAGGTTTAGATTTTACCCAATGGTTTAAATCTTCATTTACATATCCAATGGCCCCAAATAAGTGCAACACAGTCAGAGGTCCAATATTGTACACACACGAGGCAAGGTACTCTTAATTTGCGTTAATTTTAAATCATACAACTGTGGGTTATATAAATAGGGGTTTAAACCATGGGTTAAATTTAAACCTCCTTTGTGAATTCAGGCCCTAGAATACTCTGTCCTATAGTTTGGTGCTTTGCAATTTTTCCATAGAATTAGACTGGAAGAAAAATAGGTTACAGCCTACATACCTTGTGGACTAGCCATTCTGAAACCTCTCTATCCGGGGCCTCATATTGAAGCTTGAAGACGTTTTTGTCATAGTCATTGATACGTCCATTACCTTCAAAATAAAATACATGTATGACAACAATATCAAATAATTGTCTAATATTTTCAGTATAGTACATGATACAGATTTTTAAAAATATATATTAGGAAGTGGAATCCATGCAAGTTTCATATTTAACATTCTTTCAATAAGTACAATGATAATGATATTATGTGGTTATAATATCTCACAAGTAATTAAGATTCCATTCTGCATAAGTGTTAGAGAAATGGATAATTTCAGCTCACTAAATTAAATGGATTGAGTGTTCCATTCTACAAATTTGTGCCGTGACAATACATAGTTAGAAGGGAAGATCAGTCCAGGAATAACTTGCTTCCAATATTATTATTTACATTCCACAAACAAAATAAACAAATGGATTAACAAAATCATTCCCTTACCCCCCCCCCCCCCCCCCACAAAAAAAAATGGCCAAGATATGATATTTTAATGACTTGAAGTATAGAAAACTATGCAAATCACTAGATGAGCTAGGAATTGATTATGAGTTTGTGATCTCATTTCATTACTATTTACCACAATGTCCACATTAATCTTACTAAACTTTAAACCAAAATTGACAAATGTCTTTTTTTCAAAATTATGACAAAGTAATTTCTAATAAAATATTTATAAATTACTAATAGGCCAAATAAAAAAAACAACATGTTTAGCGTCCTGTTTTTTTGAAAAATAGGAAGGAGGAGGCCCTTTTTATTTTTTATTTTTTATTTCAAAATGGCCACTCGGTACATTTTCCCTGACAGTCGAGGCTATTTTTTTTCAAGATGGCCGCCGACAATTTTTTTTTTTTTAAAATCAGAAATAGAGCCATTTTAGCAGTGTTTTTCATGTTTTTTTTTCTTTCAAAAAAAAAAAATTCAAAAAAATTCAAAAAAAAAAAAATCAAAAAAAATTCAAAAAAAAAAAAAAATAGGAGGCGGCCCCCAAAAAGGAAGCGGGCGGGGACGCTAAACATGTATATTTTTTTAAATGGCCATATAAATATATTACATGTTTATATCTATTCTCATTTTCTTTCATATTTTGTTAATTCATGAAAGATATATTTTTAAAGGGGAAGTCCACCCTGAAATTAAGTTAGTTTTAATAGGAGTAGAAAAATGAGAGAAACAAGTCAGTGAAAGTTTGAGCAAATTCCGATTAAAAATAAGGAAGTTAGGATTTTTGAAGTTGTGATCAATCAAACACAAATTGGCAACTCTATGACGTATCATGCGAGCTCAACTTCCATTTGCTCAGTACTAAAAAAATCTAAAATTTTCATTTTTCCTCAAGAAAAATTTCAACCATACATGCACCCTAAATATAATAATTGCAAATATGTTTCTATACTCCCCCTGCAAGGAACAAATATATATTCCGTCATCAATAACGAAGAAAACATGATTTTATGGAATATTATGCACAAAGCAAATGAAGGAGAGCTCGTATAATAAGTCACAGAGTTGCCAATTTGTATTTGATTGATCACAACTTCAATAATTCATAACTTTCTTATTTTCATTCAGAATTTGCTCAAACTTTCACTCACCTGATTTTCTTATTATTCTGCCTCTATCGAAACAAACTTATTTTGGGGTGGACTTTCCCTTTAAGGAACCAGCATGAAACAATGTCTTCATCAACATAAGTTACACCTGTAGGTAAAGGCATTGGGGAATTAATTTTGTGGGTATAAATTTATTTAGAGAAACTGATGATAAAGATGTATCAATTCATAAAATAGTGAGGCATTACCTTACTATTTAGTATTTACTTACATCACCGACATTCCAAATCAAGAAAGGGATTTTCATAGTTATCCATAGCTTTGTATGTCACTATAAATTAATTAATTCTTCTATTATTTGTCCCATTTTCTTCAAACTTTTCTTGATTTGCTGGTTTGTTAAAAATATATACTTTTCACAGAATAAAGATGTAGCATGCTGGATGTATTGTACAGTGGAACCTGTCTATAAAGACCACACAAGGGAGACAAGAAATGTGGTCTTTGTAGACAGGTGGTCACTAAAGCAGGCTTGACTGTATTTACCTTTACTTGCTTTTGCAGGTGGAACGTAGATACTTTGTCCGGGTTTCCTTGCATGGTTCTTGTTTTCCTTTGCTGTAGTTTTCTGTTGCTCTTGCATTACTCTCACTTCTTTGTCATAATCATCCCTGAAAAAACAACAACAATCCTTTGGTAACAAGAGAATCATTAATTTTTGTTTTCGTCCTTTATCTTCCGATTAATAACCCTTGCTTGACACTTAATTTGCCACTTTGACCAAGATCCGCACAGCTGTATCATTCACATGTATGAAATGTAATGTAGTGATCTCATATTTGTATACATGTAGATCTACATAACTTTCTCATCATAATCATTCATCTTCATAAATATTAGTCCCGTTTACATTTCAAACTTCCACCATTGATCCATTCAGTTTCTCAGATTTTTCTGCTTTCATTAATTCAAATGAACTTTTTATATGGTCGATTGAACGTCCCCCCCCCCCCCTCATTCAGACGAGATGTGTTGTTACTGTTAGTTAAATAGGCATGGTATGCAGTATGCTCCAGAGTCCAGGTAGCTCCCTGGGCAGCGTTTCATGAAGTCATAAGACAGTTACAAAGTTCACAGACATCCCACTGAAACGCGTGTTAAACTTAATAATACACACCATGCACACATTTCAATGAGATCATGAGATGTCGGTGAACTTGTACTTATGACAGTTTCGTAACACACCGCCCTGGAGTTAGATACAAGAGAGCTCGAGCTCGAGACTTTCCATGTCAGAGTCAGAGTCAGCCTCTGCCTCATCCTCAACTCAGCGCGCGGATCAACATGGGTGTAGTCTAGGGTTATCCCTAACTCCAGGAAGCTCCGACGCCGACGCCTTCGGCCTCGGAGCTTCCTGGAGGTTATCCCCAAACTGGGCAAACGAAAATCGAAATACATTGTCTGGTACCTCCTTTGTTGGTTGCGAATGATATGTTTCATGAATCCAGAAGTAAGATCTAAGCGAGAAACACAACCGTGGTCGCTGGCGCCTAGCTCTGGAGCCAAGTCCTTGTCTTCCATGATGATGATGATAAAGTCTTCAAGATGATGATCAGTGCATGCGATATGCAGAGCTAGAGCGTGTATGGCAAGCCAAAAGGAGTACATTTATTTCTTGTATTTCTATTCATCTCTGAATAAACATATTCATCCTTCAAAATATATATTCATCTTCTCATTATGTTTGTATTCTAATATATTCATCACTTCAACATGTTCGTATTTTTAATATATTCATCATTTTATTTGTTCATCCTATCACTATTTTCAGCACTTTCAAAAAATATTTATTCATCTTTTCAATATATTCATCTATTCAATTTATTTATCTAACTAATTTGTTTCGTTCTTTTGATTTATTCATTTTTTAAAATATAGTCTAGACCTATCCATCTTTTTCAATATTTTGTCCTTTTAATTTATTCAACTCTTCAATATGCTCGTCTTTTGAATATTCATATTTTTGAAATATTTTTTTTATCCTTTTTTGTCTTTTTGATTTATTCATCTTTTTAATATATTCATCTTTTTCAATATTTTGTCCTTTTAATTTATTCAACTCTTCAATATGCTCGTTTTTTTAATATTCATATTTTTAATAATTCATCTTGAAATTTGTTAATCTTTTTATATTTATCATCGTATATTTATCTTATCACTATGTTCGTCTTTTTAATTTATTCATATGAGCCTGAGGGATCGAAGGGGCTCTTCTTTAAAAATAAAAGGTGTATTTATCAGAAGGAAATATCAAGGGCACTTATGAAAAAAGGAACTGGTATAATAATAAGGAGCACTTGTCCGGAGGTGGAGGGGGCACTCATCAGCGATGAAAAGGGTCACTTAATAAAATGAGAATGGGAACTAATTAGAAAGAAAAAGGGGCACTTGTCAATTAGGTAAAAGCAGGCACGTAGCCAGAGTTCGATGTTGGGGGGGGGGGGGGGCACATACATGTAATCGATCAAGGTAAAAAAAAGGTGGTCTAAAAAAGTTCAACCGATCTTGGAAATTTTAGGGGGGGGCACGTGCCGTCCGTGCCCCCCCCCCCTGTGGCTACGTGCCTTGGTAAAAGTGCAAAGAATATGATTGCTCCATATGCTCTACCCCTCTGGATCTCAGTATATGGTTTCAATTATATCCTAATAGGATAGTATATGCCGATATATATGCATCAATGTTTTGTTTGTGAATTTGTATAGACCTTCAAGGAGGAAATATAAAACAACAACATATGAGATTTGATCATGAACTCATGGTGACCAATATTGGACTGTTATGTTACAGATACAGTATAACTTCATTTATCATTTCATTATAGAAGAAGATATAAAATAACATTTTTAATATAAACCAAACAATAAATTATACCAATTATGTCTGTAATAATGTAGGCCTAGATTGGAGAAGCTGAGAAAAAAATACCGGAAAATCATGTCGTTTCAGAAACATTTGTAAATCACTGGTATCAAATTAGATTTTTTAAACACACGCACTCTTTAATTCCCATCATCTCACAATATTTCTACGGTATGCACATATCGCTATTAGGGGCATGCGGAATGTATAGGAAATTTAAATCCTGTTAACTTTCCTTTTCTTTGAATGAAATATAATGATTTAATTCAGGTTTTATTATTTGTATGTTATTTTGTTTAAACGATACAAACCATCTTTACTCGTGTACTGCTTTTTTGGGGTATTGTTTACGGGGGGGGGGGGAACTCAGTGCCCCCTGCCCCCCCCCCCCCCCCACACACACATACACTCTTCTGGCGCCTATGGTGACCGGAGCTGTGACATCATACACATTTTTTTCTCAACTTGAACTTCATTTCCCGAAAGAGCATCACAAATAATGGCTGAGAATGAGATATGACTATCTGAAATCAATTTGCTCTGGCCTGGGTTTACAATTCACAGCGTGCAGCGCGCGCTAATTGGTGGGGGTGTATCCCATTTACTGTGTATTGATTTGTTTGTGTACAAACAGGTGTAGGCTATCGTCAGTTGTGATTCGTGAACATTCGTGAACAGGGGAATATATTGCACGAATCTTGAGCGAAAATGGGGACGATCAAACTAGAAGGCGTCGAGATTTATCCTGCTCAGACAGAGGGCAGCCCAGATGTGTATTCAGAAAGTCCATTTCGCCTTGCTAAAGCGAAGTAAGTTGAGTCGACATATTCAATTTTTAATCTTTAGTCCCGTACGTTGATATAAATGTGTCTTGGACGCTAAATTAATACAAGATAGGGAAGTTAAGGGGCGGGGGCAGTGACTGGAAGGAAGAGCCACAACAGATAAAAACTAAAGGTCGAAATGTTTATAATTATCGACCACTAGAAATTGCACCCTAGCTTCAGAGTTAGCTAGTGGACTTTTCTTTCTTCCCATACAATTAGAAAGCATTTTGAGTTTGAAATCGGTCAAGAATTTAACCCAAATTAAAATGTGAGATTTTGATGCTGGAGTGATAGCAATTTGATTACTTTCTCTATGTGTTCCTAATGATAATCAATGTAGTTAGTTAAGGTGCGATTTACACTACAAAAATGCTGACCTCTAACAAATGTTTGCATTGTTGGTTTCGGCTGAAATGCAAAGACTTGCGCCTGTTGCGGTGTTTAAAAAAAAATGTTTTGCCTATGACATTTTTACCTGAAATTTTCCCTCTGGCATTTTTATCTCTGGCAGTATAATTTACATCTGTCATGTTTACCTCTGGCATTTTTGCAGGGCGCAATGTATTTGCAATTGTTTTTCAGAGTATAAAACATATAAAAATCACATGTATAATGTACAGGTATGTTAAATATTTATTCAGAGTTCAATTAAATATATGTAGCTTTTCAGAGTATAACATTTATTTAATCTAAAAGATGTTTTAGACACTGGTAGAATTTTTAGGTGCTTGTTTAAAGTTTATTGTTCTACATTTACATCAAAACCAATTTAGGCCAAATAACCAAAATGAAGTGTTTCTCGTCCCCTAGCTGGTCCCCGCCCACCTCCTTTTTGGCCGCCGCCTCCATTTTTTAAACTAGACCTACATGAATTTACTTTTCAGGAAAAAAACAAAGAAAAAACAAGCAAAAAAATTGCCCCCCCCCCCCCCCAAAAAAAAAAAAAAAAAAAAAAAAAAAAAAAATCTTGTGATATAAATTTTGTTTAATTAAAATAGCTGCTAAAGTGATACAAATCATTTGTTTTGTCATATATTGCATCAGTATACTCACATAGCACAATATCTGTGAATATAGGCTCATCCAGTTAAAATTAGCATGGCAGCCACCTTGGAGAAAAAAAATTGCAAAACATTGCAAAATGGTATTAAAATAGAAATGCCCTGCCTCCTCCTTTAAAAAAAAGTATGGACGAGAAACACATTGTTTTCTTTATTTGGCCTTATATTCATACAACTGTAAAAAAAATATGTAATAGTAAAAAAAAAGATACGGATAGATAACTTTAATGAAGTCTAATGTCGACCTACAGTAATTAAGCAAAGTACTTTTGTACATGACGGACAAGAAAGAGTACAAAATATACAGTTCCTCAGGTAGACAAAGGAACATCCCTTCACTGCTATTATGTAAAATGTGTAGAACAGGTGTCACATGCATATCACCTGTTCTTGTCTACCTGAGGAACTGTATATTTTGTTCTCTTTCTTTGTCCGTCATGTTCATAGTGTATACAAAAGGCGATATAAAAACAATTAATGTAAAATTTATTTTGAAACTTCAGATGGGTGTCAGATGATGAGGCGTTGATATGCATTGCCTGCAACCAGAAGTTCAACCAGCTAAGACGCAAGCACCACTGCAGGATGTGCGGCCGGGTCCTCTGTAGCAAGTGCTGCAAGGAGAAGGTCCCCCTCCCTCAGCTCAGCCTCCATGACCCGGAGAGGGTCTGCGATATCTGTCTGCCCGTGACTGAACTAGTCACCAAGGCTCGGTCCGGCTCAACTGTGAGTTATGGATAGTTCATAAATTATTTTGTTGAAGAATTTTCTAACTAAGTGTTAGCATACACATTTTGTTTTACATCTGTTCATCAAATTGAAAATGTGTCCCCCCCCCCCTCTCAAAAAATAAAGAAGAAGTAATTACCAAAGTGAGCTGTATCTTTTGATTCATTTTTTGTAAGGCAGTATTGTTTAATGAATGTTTGTAGAAGAGAATGTAGAAATGCAAGTCTTTTAAAGGCTTTTGATGAACTAGAATTGCAATTTGTGTTTGTTTTTCTTGAACAAATACCAATACTTTATACTTTTATCACTTCTCTGCACTGCATTTTCTTTCCAGGCATTTCAAATTGAAGCATCGACAGGTCTCTTAGAGAATGTCTGTGACCCCAATGGACTTCGAAAGGTCGTTGAACTAGGCGGCCTGCAGACCTTGATCTATCTGTCAAGGGTCAACGCCCAGCCAGTCAAGAGGGCCTGTGCTTCAGGAATTCACACGATGTCTACCCATCAGCCATTGCAACATTTGCTTGCTGATGCGGGTGCTATCAAGGCAATCTGTGGGTAGGTCCTAGGCCTTTTTATGCCTCCGTTACGAAGTAGCCGGAAGCATTATGTTTTCGGGTTGTCCGTCCGTCCGTAGGTCTGTACGTACGTCTGTACGTACGTACGTCCCGTTCTCGTGATCGCGTTATCTGAAGAACCGATTGATGGATTCTTGCCAAACTTTGGTCATGTATGTATCTTGCAGAGCCGATGAACTGATTAGATTTTGAGGTCATGAGGTCAAAGGTCACAGGGCTCATTATGTATGCAAAAACAGTTCGTGATCGCGTTATCTGAAGAACCGATTGATGGATTCCTGCCACACTTTGGTCATGTATGTATCTTGCAGAGCTGATGAACTGATTACATTTTGGGGTCATGAGGTCAAGGTCAAATGTCATGCGGCTCATTATGTATGCAAAAATAGCTTGTGATCGTATTATCATTAGAACAGATTGATGGATTCCTGCCAAACTTAGATCATTTATGTATCTTGCAGTGCCAATGAAATTAGTAGATTCTTGGTTCATAAGGTCAAAGGTCATGGGCTCATTATGTATGCAAAAATAGCTTTTGAACGCATTCTCATAAGAACTGACAGATGGATTACTATTTAACTCAGGACATCTTGCAGAGCCAATGAACTGAGTAGATTTTAGGGTCATGAGGTCAAAGATCAAAGGGTCATATATGTATATGAGAAATTGCTTGTAATCACGATATTCTGAGAACCTGTTAATGGATTACAATTGAACTTGAATTTGAAAAATTTCTTCTGTTTTGGTTTGTAAAATTGCTCTATGACGGAGGCATCATTTCCTGGGGAGGGGGGGGGGGTTCTCAGATTATAGTCGGACGGGGGTGTGCGGCTGAGACCTCCGAACCCATACCCACATCCAAGGGTCCTTTTGCTGAAATAGGTACCCATGTCTAAGGATTTTTTGTCAAAAATGGACCCATGTCTAAGGATTTCAAACTTCAAATATTACATTTTTTAAGCTGTAATAATAATACACTCCAGCAAAGCATATGGAGAGTCAACGCTAATGCATATTGACCTCTAACACTGCATTACGCGTTAATATGCAGCATTTAAATACATGAATAGTCAATACACTCATAACACAGAGATGCACACAATCATGCCGATGCGGCTGATCGGCAAGTTCGACAGTGGACTCACAATTTGATTTTTTAATTATTCTTTCTAACATCGGAAAGTTAAAAAATATATATTACTGCTATTTAGATCTTATTGATTGTCACTAAAGTATCGATTTTTAGTGAAATTGGTTGAGTTTTACACAGTGGTGTTTGAAATGTTGAGAATCAAAACTAATAGCACAGCTTTTAATACACAGCCAGGATAGTAATGCACCTACATGTATGTGTGTAATAATACAATGGCCAATAATTTTGCAGTTTCTCGATAAAGTTCTTTATTAGTAAACTGTACCATACTACATGTAGTTTACAAGTAGTTTACACACATAAAGATGAAAACACCATGCAACATAATAATACTGTGCTAGCACCTCTAGCATCTGTTTTAATTGAAGGACTTTTCCTGTTAACGTACCCGTACACGAGCTCTCAAGCATTGGCTATATAGCTACCTGCTTGAGCCCCGCTGCTGCCCGGCTGCTGGGCAGAGGGTACGCAGGGTATAGCTGCCGATCTTTCAGCGTGCGAAGCGCTACAAGTTTCCGGGGTACAACCCCTATACGGGCGGATACCATACCTAGCGCGCATTATGCCATATGAGTACCCGGTATAGAGCCCATGGGGTCCTGATATATGTGGTACCCCGGGATCTAGTTGAGTTTACGAGCTACGTACGTACACCCACTGACTTAGAGGTCAGTGCGTACACCTCGTACACTGGAAATGCAATCACCGAAGGGTCCATTTATTTAGAGATGGGAGAGATTTAGGCATTTTCAATGTAGGAGCAAATCCCAAAATCCAGGAGAAAATGAGGGAGAAAAGAGGGGAAAGGAATAAATGAAAAAAGGGACCCATGTCTAAGGATTTTTTTAATGAAAAGGGGACCCATGTCTAAGGATCTTTCCTGAAAAAGTCACCCTTCCGAGCGGCACATCCCCGTATACCCAATATACGTGAGTACCCCCCCCCCCCCCCCCCCCCCCCCGGGCATTATTTTCGACTGCGCGCGGTCAAAAGTTCCATCTAGTTTTTTCTGCCGCCTTTTTCTGCCTTTTTCTGCCTTTTTACCTTTTTACCTTAAGTAAAGCAGATGTTTGGAGTCATAATAACGTGTTATGCAAGCGGTTTTTATTCTCTCTTCCCCTCACCTTCATTCTTGTCCTTTCTTGCTCAGCTTCGTTCATTACTTTCTCATCCTACTCTGCTATATCTCCTCTTCCAGAGCGTAGGTCTTTACTTTTGTCAGAATGTATTCAACTGTTTGTAAATCTAATTGATTTTTTTGTTTTGTGCACATTTATGTATTCTTATGTTATTCATTGTTATCTCCTGCCAGTGGAGGCCAAATTTCTGTGTTTTTTAACGTGGACAATAAAATTTGAATCTGAATCTGAGTCTATTGGTTCCCACCCCTTGGTTTCTAGCTCCTATTACCCAGAACCATTGTATTATTCCTACAAGTATGTCCCTCTGATCCTTTGTTCCATTATTCCTGTGTACCCAACAGCTTTTATGCCCTATTCAGAGCTGCCAACCATTACCCTTTTCCCGGAATTATTCTTTTTTTTCCTCCAAATTACGGTAGTATGTTTTTTAAAATTATATTTTTACATTTTTTATTAATACCGCACATCAAATAACTGCCCTAAAATGTTGATTTGAATACAAATTCAATAGAAAATTAAAGTTTAATGAACTTGAAGAGAAAAATATTCTCATAAAGAATCAAATGCTGATGATACATACAAAAAAAATACCTACTGTAAATAAACTATTGGTCCAAATATGGAGAAAAACAGCATGAGGAATGGACATTTCTGCATTAAAAGTGTGTCACGCTTGGTTGTAAGTTTCATTTTAATGAATTCCTTTATTTGGTCGCACAAGGTTGACAGCTCTGCCTATTTGTTCTACATCCTGTTATTCCAATATTTAGTAGGTCCAATGTCAAATCAGTCTTGCATCTCATTTGTTTTTATTGACACCATACCATATTGGAAGGTCATATAATCACACTTTTCAAGATTTCCTTCTAATTCATTAGGTAGAGCATTGCATATTTGGAGACCAGTAATTTAAAAGCGCACTGTGTTCCTTCTCTTTCGACATCCACAGTATACTTTCCACAGCAGATGAAAGTCAGGAAACACTCATCATTGATGCAATAAGTGCCCTTATGATCTTTGTCAAATCACCACATCTCAAAACAAAAGGTAAACACCTATTTACATATTTGCTTTGACTTCAGTAAAAAAAAAGTAATAAAAATCCTTATTATTACCTCTGTTCATACTCATTTTATGTACCAGTACGGTAAGCACTATCAAACAAACTCAATGACTACCTGCTTCTAGTATCTTCTTCCTCTAAAGATCAATTTCTCCATTTCCTTGAAAATATTACTGTTTTTCTCTCTTCCCTTGGAGCAGTCTTTTGAAGTTAAACCGGTTTCAGCTAGTTCTGTATTTGAAGTTGTTGTGTCTCTGTAAAATGAAGTAAAATAGATGAGTCTAACAAGTAAATTCCTGAAAAGACAAAATAATTCTATCAAATTTGAAATGAAAGGTTGATACATGACTTCCTTAAATGAGAACTACAGGATATGATACCCTTTTGGACAGGAAAACAAAATTCAATGTTGCAGATAGAAGAAACTGAGTGAAACAGAAGCAGTGAAGTACCACTTTCAATACACCAATCTCAATTACCGGTAAACTTCAACTTTGTAATGTGCTTGAAGCTATTAAAGGGATCAGGTATCAACTTTGTCTCAGATTCTGAAAAAAAATCCTGGATTTAGCTCATGCTGCAATGATAATTATAAACCTTTAGGTCAGTCAGGAATCCCATGACTTTTACAAGCCGATCGCTTGTCTAATTATCAAGATATTTATGATTGGAAATCGAAATCAAATTTTGCGTTTTCCTAACGGTTTTCATAACTCTACACTCTATTGGGGGAAACGAATATGGTAAAACCGGTCACTCAAAGATTTTTCCTTTTTTGAAGGCACTTCATGATCATTTTGAAGCCCAATTTTTTCATGGCTTCAATATTACACCATATCACAGACACTGATGACACATAGGGCCTTGCATCTCAGATTAAAATTTTTAAACGATGCCTTTAAAGGTAGTTTATCCCTTTTGCAGCCAACATCAAATTCTGTAGAACTTGGCAGGAATCATGAATATGTCACGCACATGTCCTATCTGTGAAATGTAAACGTTTATTAGCAGTGTCCTAGTATTCAAATTATGCAAGGAAACCTGTTTACTTCTGCACTTCACTGTCAGACACTATTAAGTGACTGACTGACCTTTTGTTGTTGGTGGTAATAACATACATAAAATGAGCTGTAACAGGTACATGAGCATTTGGCCACGTCAATAACCCACTACTTGTAATGGCCAAAATTATGCTGATTGAATCTTTGTGCAACACAAAACGTACGACCGTTCGGTACTGACAAGGGTCTGAAAATCAAACGATTTGATTAATTAACAAGCGCACTCGCTAAATTCAATTCGACAACTAACGGTTGTTATTTTCCTACAAAAAGACATTTTCAAGCCCTTCTGTTTTGAGGAAGGTCTAAATTATATTATCTTTCAAATGCCATTTGAATATAACCTTTTCATTTTGTTGGCCTACAAATGGGACATACTACCTTTAATACACTGATTCATGCTCTAATTTTATACTACCAATTTCAGTTCGAAATATTACATGCTTACACTTTCAATGTCTATTTGTGTCAGTCGATCAGTAGACTTCAACAACGATCATGGTCCGTAAACAAATAAGATAAAATAAGATACCCTTAATTAAGATAAAAATATAACATAATCCTCTATTTGTGGTATAAATGATTAATTTAGAGACCAAGTTGAAGTAATTTGACAGATTCCTGTTGTTATCTGCTGTTATTTTTACCCTAGCATTATCTGATGGTGCCTTACAGCCTGTATTGAAGCTTTGTGGAATGCAAGCTTCTGAGGCTATTGCTCTCCTAGCCGTCCGCACGTTGAATCTCATCACAGAACATGCAGGGAACCATGCAGCAATCATTGAGGTTAGCAGTCATCTGCATTACATGTATCAATAATCTATTATGCAATGTTTATGAGTGAGATAAAGTGAGATATTAACTATTTCATGTGGAAAATGATATATGCAGGGGGGGGGGGGGGGGTTGTCACAAAGATCTTAAGTTGGACTTAAAAATTATGGAAAGCTGTTAGCATCTTTGAAAATATTATGTAAAATTTATTTCAAAAGGCATAAAATGTTGGAAATTCAAATCATTCATATTTTCTATTATCAAGGAAATTTCATGTTCTTGATGAGGAATTTATGAAAAGTCTAAAATACTTGATTTTTTGCTTTTGAATATATTTCATTTTGAGGCTACAAATGGCTCTCCATAATATTTAAGTCCAACTTAGAGTTAAGTTCAACTTGGATTTTTGTGAAACACCCCCAGCTGTACTATGCTGTATGCTCATGAGTGCATCAGTGATTATGCACGGCATGCCTTGAATGTCTCCTTACGCAGATCAAAGAAAAGGGGATTATACTTGAGAAGGAAATAGAATATCAAGAAGTGAGAATCGGGATAAGAGAGGAAACAGAGAACAAGCTAGAAAAGTTCTCTAGGAAGAATAAATTTGGAATTGTTAGGAAACTTTGGTTGGATGAGGAGGGAAACTAAAACTTCATAATAAATGTCACAGAAATTCTGCAACAAAAATTCTGTATGAAATCACCATGCATCGAAAAGGCACATCTTGACGGGCGGGCAATGCCTGGAACGTCACTGCATATGCTTGTGAAAATGCTCTCACTTTTAGATAAGCAATATATCATTTTTATGCTGCCCTATCAGCTTATGAAGGAAAATTACTATATCACGGATGATCTCATGAAAAAAGATTAGGAAGCCAAAAAACTGGAAAACGCAAGTATTGAAATCATACAAAATGGAAACCGCCTACGTTTTGCAGTTGGGAAATGGTATATTAAGCAAGGAAACCTAGCTGACTTTTATCAGCATTAACAAAAATGAATAATTTATGTTTTAAAGCTGGTCTATAAAGAAAAGAATTGGGTTACATACCTGTTCAAATGTAACAAGCATGGCACAGTCATAACATGACACTATTTGCTTAATTGGAGTTCATGTAATTGTCCCATGTCACCTCGGTACACACATTAAGCAGCTCTTAGTGATTCTTAAACATTTTTCCTAACCATTTTAAAGGAAAAATCATCTGCTTTGCTCTTTGATGAAAGAAACTTTGTGATTTTTTTTTTTGTAGAACGACAGAAATGCCTTGCCACATCTTCTTTCCCTCACCACATCCAGTGATGAACAGGTAAGCAAACTGGAATTCTATAAATGTAAATAGCAAAACAAAGAGATAAATAGCCATGGGGTCATGACTGAACATATCTCTGACAACCATCCTATGAGAAACTATTAGAAAGACAATTTTTGACAACCAATATTTAGATGCTGCTAATAAGTATCGGCTTGCACAGTGATGTAGATATACACCCACATATCCTCCCCAAATTGCGCTATGGTTCTCCTTAGAAATATAAGCTAAGAAAGATAACAAACAGTATTTTTCAAGACTACCAACAGTCCTTTCAGGACTGCACACACTCAAGAATGAAAAATTACCGAGAATCCTTTTCAGGTTCCCCAATCCTCCCCCTCTCTCACATGGTGCAACCGCAAGCATACTGTATAATATTTATAAGCGGTAATAATCTTAGCTAGTTCTATAACATTTTCCTTTTCATTCCATCAACCTGTTGAATACTAAGCCTGAGACATACTGTAACAACATTCTTGGAGACATAACAACATACTTGGAGACATAACAACATTCTTGAATGTTGAGGAATATCACCTCAGACCTGTGAAGTTAGGGAATCTTTCTATAATGGCAGCTGTGTTGCTCTGTTATTAAGCATTGTGTCCTATACAGATCACGGAATGAATCAGGTCCCTGTTTCATTAAACTTCTTATAAAAAACATAGGCTAAATTTCTATGGCTAATTTGCCATCAGCCAATCAAATGCCACGATTCCAGTAGCTTGTTACAGATATTGTAACTTGTTATTGATTACAAGTTTAATGAAACGGGGGCCCTGTACCTGAAAACCCCCTGCCCCAAGGTCATTCTTCTGGTTGCTGAATTGTGCAGGTTAGACTACATATTCAGAAAGGTTGAAATATTCTTCAAACGATTTAATTTCCTCTTTCAGATGCAAGAGATAACTCTGAAGACGTTAGGAGGTCTGTCAATGGGAACAGACTGGCATAGACATAGAATAGTGCAGGTATGTATGGAGAGTAAAGAAGAAAATTGGATTACTCAGTAAAAAAAACAACACATTTGAGTACATTTGTTCTTCCTGGTACGATACCCCTGGTAATACCCCAAATCTCAGGCCAGAATAATTGAAAATATTTATAATTTCACTACATAATCTATTGAAATTTGACACCATATATGTTTTTGAATAATTTTACATTTCTTTATCAGAGGCAATTTTTTTTGATGCACTATGTGATGCTTGATTGATAATACTGTTTTATTAGAGATACAATATGTTATTGGACAAAAGATAATTCGATGTTTCCAGTGTAACTTGAAAATATTGACTAATAACCATGTACAGAAGTTTTTTTTTTATTATGGATATATGTAATATATGTATTTATATTCAGCTCACCACAATCAGTTTTCTTGAATGATTTAAAGCCCCTCTGCACTAGTTTGGCATGGAGGGATTAGACCTTCCTGGGAGGTCACTAGCAGGTGGTTATCTCATCAAATCAGCTCTCAATTAACGTAAGAATCATGGGGGATCAACAGGTACCGCGTAGGCATTGTTGGCTGTATAGAGGGCACAATTAGTTGTAAGAAGTGCAGTGGGGCCTTAAGTGAGTAGTAGAAATATGAACAACATTAAGCATGAGAAAAATATGAATGGGAAAAGAGAGAAAAGAAGAAAAAAGCTTCATCAACCATCCAACGATGTACTTTTTAAATTTTGTTCATGTGACAGGAGGACTTTTCATCTGGGAGAAATCTTTCAAGGGTTTTGAGATCAAGGCCAAAGAACAAGCAAGTCTTGTGTAATGCAGCATGTCTGGTAGCCAACCTGGCTACATCAGAACAAGACCAGGTAAAGACACTAGTATAGATATATCGACTGCTATGAGAGGCCTGGCTGTTTCAATACTGGATCTCAGAAAGGCGCGCCTTGGGGTCATGGTAGGATGCAATGTCCCTTTGAGCCTATAAAAACAGCAAGGCCTCGAATATTAAAGCAGTCGATATATCTTTTATATACCGAATTGACACAAAAATGTACCAAAAATTCTTATCTTATCATTTTCTCGAGCAAAGATTGGTGAAAACATCACAGAAAATCTGAGACACTGTCTGTTAATCTTCGCTGGAAAAATGACTGAATGTTATAATCATTGGGAATCGCAGACAAAAAGCACTGTATGGTATCCACGCTTGAACAAACTAATTTTTAACACGTAAACCAATGGGGATCACAGCAAAATTTAAATATTTTCTCGGTACCTGGAATCTTGCGGGAATCTCACTCATGAACTATTAACCGGTACTGGCATTGCTCGTTTCTTTATGGGAATGGCTAAATTCAAAACTCCAATTTCCACCAATCAGATGGCTAGATTTCTAACGAGAGGTAAATAATATAGATATATTCACCTCTATGAGAAGCATCGTTGTTGTTACTAAAGGCTCAAGGGGACGTTACATCCTGCTATGACCCAGAGAGGGTTGAGATCAAGGCCAAAGAACAAGCAAGTCTTGTGTAATGCAGCATGTCTTGTGGCGAACATGGCTACAGGAGAAAGAATCGGAGCAATGTAGATATTTTATTTTGTCTTTCAGGTGAAAATGGGTTATTTGTTCAGATTTAACCCAGGATGAAATCTTGGACTTTACTCCCTGCCTCTTTGACTACTCTTTAACCCAATGACTACTGAATGTTCTCATTCCCATAGACTTAACACAGGGACCACCCAGGTCCCTGTACGCAATGGGTTAATCATTAAATCTCCATCTTGTTCTTCCTAGGGGTCATTATCAGAGTGCGTTGACTCCTTATGTACCCTCCTGACAGAGTTTCGCTATCAGAAGGAGCTTCTCATGCATGTCGCCAGGGCCCTTGCCAACTTTGCCAAGTATCGTCATAATGCTTTCAGACTTGTAAGTACCGGTATCCATTTTTTCAACCATTCTGAATATTCAAACATGCCTAATTGCCACCTTTAACCCTAAATGGAACTGACCCCCAACCTTAACTTAAAGCCCCTCTGCACTACTTATAGCTACTTACACCCTCTATATAGCAAACAATGCCTAATCAGTGCCTGTTGGTCCCCCATGATCCCCTTTTTCTTATGTTAATTGAGAGCTGATTTGATGAGATAACCACCTATCAGTGACCTTGCAGAGAGGTCTAATCCCTCTGGCCAAACTAGTACAGACAGGCTTTAAGATGAACATGTAATCCCACCCAAACCGTATCACTACATCTTTGAAGAGATAAAGGGTGGAACAGATGTTGCCAAAGTAAATGGAGATCAGTGATGTATCAACTGTTACATTATGTTGAATTATGTTGTATATATGTTATTTTTATATTGTATGTATTTATGTATGCACGGCCCTACAGAAGAACAGTCCGTGGGCTGAGGTAGGCCTCCGTGTTTAAATAAATAAATGAAATGAAATGAAATGTAACATGACCATTTGTTGTTCAACTTAATTTCATGATAGATACTTATTAGTAATATTTTGTATTATAAAGTCAAAACACTTTTGATTCATAGTTATTGAATAATATGTAAAACTTGTTTCAAAATCTTCAAAAAAATTGTCCCCCATGATCAATCACTTTCTCTTGTTTATTTTCCAGGTGGAACGATTGCCAGTAATTATCACAATTTGTTTAAAGGTAAGGATATAATGAATACGGCTCAAATTGAAAAGGCCACAAAATGTGCCAAGGTTTCATTCGGCATCGTCTACATACCTTTACCACTACAAAGTGGTATTGTCCTAGGAGATATGTCACAGGTGTGAATCACATACTGTTTTTCTGGGTTCTGTTGTGGCACTAATTTCCTTTGGCAAGACATCAATCTATTGTTTGCCACACTCCACCCAGGTGAAGTAAACAGGTTACCTGGTAGGAAAACAATTTCTTGAAAGGTTTAGGGCCTTATCATGGCAGCTCAGCGCAGTAAAGCATATTTCTATTGCAGCCATGCTATATAAATGGACATACACTGTGTGATGAAGGGTGAAGATAAAGCTCTCATTAAACATGTAGTTGGAAACTAATTTTCCTTCAAAACTGACATTGTTATTTTTTTCCTCCATTATTTGGAAAATAGCTGTGTGTTTACTTTACTCAGTGGAAAAACTTGCTAGAAGTAATGGCATTGAATTGAACATAAATTCAATGCAGTGCGGACGAACGAGTCGGGTTTTCAAAACCATGATATAGCCGAGCTTTGATATACATGTACTTTGATTTATCAAAAACAGAGTTTTGATGTTGCATAATGACAGAAAATATGAAAAATACTGCAATATTTTCAGATAAAATTTGGCACGATTTGACTAATAACTGGCACTGCTGACTGTAATGTTAATGAAATAGAGCAAATCTTTTCCTTCAATTTGATGATTTATTTATTTCATTTGGTGGTTTCTAGTGTGATATTTTACAGTGTTTAGCTGAGACCCTTCTGTAGCAGTTTAGTGTAAACAAGTTGCTTACTTCATTCAAATAAGGCTTCAAGGATGAAAGCTTTCGAGAAGTTGATTGTACCCTAGTGCTGCGTCTGAAAGCTAGTATTGCCCAAATTCTTAATTTTTTTCTTCTTCTGTTCATAGTCAAGTGCTGATGAAGTAGTACAACAAGGCACAAGGATCATTCTTCATCTACTGCAACATTCAGCAGATTCTACTATCAACTGTCTCCTCACGTAAGTTCAATTCAATTCAATTCAATTCAATTCATATTTATTTCATTTCCATTTGTGAAATGTATGTGAAATGTGAAACCAATTAACTCAACAACTCAACAACAACAACAAAGATAAACAAAGGTATTACATTTTTTTCATACATAATTCATTTTTTCTTGGTAAGTATACAAATACACTTTGCACATAATAATATTATTACAAGAAATTCTTAATTTTTGAAGAAATGGGGGGGGGGGGGGGAATCCACTAAAAAGCAGTGCTTGTAGTTTGTGGATCCCCCCAGAAAAAAATATAATCGTTTCACATTGTGCGTACGAAGACTTGGAAAACACAAGGCAATATTACAAAACAACAAACAACCACAAAACGACAAGGAGAAGTAAAACAAATTAAAGAAGAAGGAACAGGGAAAAAAAGGGGGAAGAAGGGTAAATCATGACCGGAGAAGAGGCAGTTATATTGGTGATTCTGGGAAGGTATGATCATAAGACCAAATAAATATTAAATTAATCAAGCAGATGATGAAGACCTAAATTAAAAATTTAAGATGATTACCACCTGTTATCAGATTATTATTGTATATTACTATAAGATTTGAGCAAAAATATTTTTTTCTTGAAAGATTTTAGGGATGTACTATTTTTAATACCTTTACTTAGAAAACTCAAAAAATCTAGGACCATCATACATAAAAGACTTCTTTGCTAATAAAGTTCTAAAGAGTGGTAGGTGAAACTCGTTAGACCGTCTAGTTGGGTAATTATGAAATAAATTTTTGCCACCATTGGACATCAAAAAGTTACTTATTCTTACAAATTGCTTTCAGTCTCAGCATACTGAGCATAGTACAGTACTTCCGCGTTCATAATATTTTTTAAAACGATCAGACAAAGAAAAGTTAAAAGGTTCAATGTTAAACATTTTACAAGTTGCTTTCAGCATAGTGCAGTAAAATTAGTAAATAAAATTGTGTGTGAATGTAAACTTTCAACGTACACTGTACGGTGGTGAACTGTTATTCAGACCAGGTAGCCCAAGCGGAGTTTTGCGATCCACCGATGGAGTATGTACGAGTTTGAAGAACGATCTTAGATCCAACAAGCCTGATCCTCGTAGAGACCCTCTCCTCCCGCTTCCGCTGCAAGACGTCCTAGCTCCGTTTTTAGCTTCTGGGGTAGGTCACTACGAATGGTGACACAAGAGTATGTGGGATCCCGAGTTCCTTTTTGCACTCAGGCCGAAGCGGCGCTGCTGTACCCTTGGCGTGGTTGGGATTCAAAGGCGCGGTGTAGGCGGTCGCGATCAAACATTGACGAGAGGTGAATAATCATGGGCTTGGGTCCGGGCTCCGGTTGGCCGACAAGCTGCTTGGCGTGTTTAGGTTTTGGCAAACGATGGGCGTTCCCCAGCGTAATCTGCTTTGTTTGTCAGGTATCCCATAGACAAGTAGATTGTGCTTACGATGATGTATCTCCATAATATCAGTCTTCCCTCTACCTCCTCTTCCTGTTGCTTTAGCTTCTCTTTCAAGACTGGAATTTCATCTTTCTCTAAAGGGGTTATTCTATCCTGGGCAAAGTTGATGTTTTTTTCCAGCTCAGAAACAGATTTCTTTGTCTGCGCGAGGTCGCTTTTAATCGCGCCCAGTTCACTGAGAACATTATCGAGTTTGCCGGAGAGCATGTTTTTAATGTCAGCAAAGCAACTAAGAACCAGCTCTGACCCCGCGTCTGCTGACAACGGGGTCTCGCTGGCGTCGCTTAGGTCGAGCGTTGAAGCCAAATCACTCGTCGAGCGAATCACAGTGGGTTTACTGAGCTAGTTGCAGTCATTTTGACTGGTTTTGCAGTTATTTTGCTTTTATTTTTGTTGACGCGTTGATTTCGGACACTATAGACAATCTCCCTGTCGAAGGGTGATTACTCATGACTCGTGAGTAGTGTACAGTTAGCGAGTGTATTTCACATTACAGATTTTAGATTTGCGGGATCGCCACGGAAACGGCCATTCGCTACAAAGGCATGTCAGATTATCGAAAAGAAAGAAAGAAAGATAAAGCTAACAAACGACCAAAACATACATAAATACCTGAAAACCTGACAAACATTGTCAAAGTCTAGGAACAGCATTTTAGGTTATAATTGACAACCGAGCTTTCTTTCCATCATCACCTTTATCTTCATCACCACCATCCTCATCATAACCATCAGCGTCGTCATTGTATCAGATCAGATAAAGATTGCCCTTATTTAATATAAAGTTATATTTCTTATGTAATGTTCTGACTGTCTACTTAAATTCTTTACTAATTTATGATTCTTATGACAACAAAATTGAAAAATTATGCCATGTTGACTCTGAGCAATTTACTGATTGGATTTGGTTATTCAAATCATATAACATCATATACTGTATCTTATTTAAATAGAATATTAATTGAACATTTGCTCTGTACACTCACAGGAAGTAAAGAAATTGTTTAAACCACAAGTATTATATTGAATATCAACAAAATGAAAAGAAGGCTACAATCTATTTTGAACTGGTTCTCTGAAGAGATGGAAGTTCAGAGGATTCATTCAAGTGTCAAAACTTCTTAAACCCATCGAAAATTTGCTCATGACATATTTACTATCATAAACTTTACTGAAAGTCATTGATTAACCAATTGATTGATTGATTGATCGATATATTAATATAATGATTGATTGATTGATTGGTTGATATATATATATACATTGATTGATATACTGATATATAGATTAATTGATTGATATATATTGATTGATTGATTTATTTACATATATTTATTAATTGATTGATTTATATATTGATTAATAGGCTGATGTATTGATTGATTGATTGTTACAGAGATGGAGTCACAGACCTCCTTAAAGTCATCTCTAAAGCACCAGGGATGGTTGATGCTATGCAGAGCTCCCTCCTCCTACAAGCTGCTGAGAGAGAAGCGCCCTCTTGAGTTCAGGTTAAGAGTGATCTATATTTTTGTCTATTCTCTGGAGGTTAAAGACCCACTGTACTTATTGTAGTACTTGCTGTTATGTTAATTGAGAGCTAAGTTGATGAGATAGCCACCTGTCAGTGACCACGCTGTGTGGTCTAATCCCTCCTGGCCAAACTAGTACAGACTGCCTTTAACTGACAGTTCAACTATTGCCTGTCTTATCAATGTATGGGCAAGTCCAAGGTATTTAATATTTCGTTGTCTTTTATGCTATCAAGAATAATTAAAAAGAAAGAAAAACTGAAAATCGCAATTGCAGTTTTCCCAGTTATTTGGTGAGATTCAAGCTTTACAGTAGAGCTGTTAAACTTGATAGCATCATCAGGTGAACCGAAACCTGATTATGATGTCAATAACTTAGTTGAGAAAATACTGTGGACTTGCCCATATATTGACTTGAAATGCTATGTCTATGAAAGAAATGTTTTATATTCAAACGGTGCCTTTGTAGAACATCCTTGCTCTCACACTACGTTGTGAACAGTCTCAGTAAAAGATGCCAATGAAAAGAGCTTTGGCAATAGGAAAATAGTTTAACGTGTACAATGAATGACAAGGGCCAACACTGTACAGGAACAAAAAAATGTGGCATCCTTAGGTCACAATGCTGATATTTACAAATACGTGACACAAGCATGCATATCATTATATTTTGCTGCATAATTTTCTCTTTTTTAACTCCATTTCATTGCCAAAAGTTTTAATGGATCTTGTGGTTAACCATGTATCAGCCAATGGTTATTTCAAAGTGTTAGTTGAACTATCAGAGTAGTGATTTCTTTGTTACTTGAATATCATGTTTGTCTATGGCCATAAAGCACATCTGCATATATTCTATTCATGTAAATAAACATGCAAGTAGATATAATACTTATATTTTTTTTCTGCTATGAGTGAGACAAATTTTCACACCTTAGATTAGTTAACATCCTTTTGACTCTCAGTTAAAAACATATTAATAGATTCTTGCACATCTACAAGTATATAGCACTCATATCGCTGAAACTCTTGGCGCTTTGACATTAATACAATCTGGATTTATAGAGCTTTTATGAAATACCATGTCTAAGTGCTTTACAGATGTCATTACCCGGTCATTGGATTCATTCATGCACAATGTGCACCATCTCCACTCCCTGGGGCGTGTTCCTACCATATGGTCACTGTGAGGGTATATGGCAATTACCAACTCAAAGGCTTTCATCATCCTACCATGCAGGTCCCCATTTTTCTCCTGGGTATGGAGTGGCGAATGTAAATCCTAGTCTTGCCAAAGGAAGTTAGTGCCTTGTGGGGGATCAAACTCTCGACCTTTGCATTTCAATTCAAGTGCTTAAACCACTGGACTACGACACCTCTACATTATTACCCTGATCATAGCTGAAACGTAAAAGTAACTAACCCCTGAAGCATATATAGATCATAGAAAATGGCTTATGACCAAAGAGAGATAGATTGGATTCTTTCCCAATATGGGTATGTGGAGGTGTTGTGGTCTAGGGGATATGTCAGCGGACTGGATTACATGGTTCGTGGCTCAAGTCCCACTGCGACACTTATGTCCTTTGGGGAGACATTTATCTACATTTGCCGCACTCGACCCAGGTGAAGTAAACAGGTAGTACCTCAGAGGGGTTAATACCTAAAAATGCCAGAAGGCTATAATGGCAGCCATGCTAAAGCCTGGGTAATAATTGTAGAGTGCCAGGAGTGTCAAATCTGACAGACATAAGCATAAGCGGTATACAAGAATCCACTAGTATTTTAAATGAAATTGCGTTTAAATATACTTTTGAAGAAGTATGAGGAGCTCTGTCTACAAATTCTTTCATGAAAATGAGGATCACGATGAAGAAGATGAACATGAACATGATAATGATAACAGTAATTGTAGTGATGATGACTATGATGATGATTATAAATAATAATATTGAATATAATTTCATTAAAATAAGTTTAATACTCTGTACTATGTGTCAACATGATCAACGGTGCTGTTTTGGAGATATAGATACAACCTGGGAACAATGTTTTGACGCAGGCTCTGCTGACGCAATATGCATGTGCCATCATTCATATTCATAAGGCTGATTATGACTACCGGTATTTAAGACTACAATTGTTTAATGTTTAACTTTATTCACTCTGCCGCTTTAGAGATATAATCATAATGTCAGAACAACGTTTTGATACTCTACCATACATGCCAACTGTTCAGATTAAAGAGGAACTTTCCTCTTTTTGGGAGAAGATAATTATCATTTTAATGCAGGTGTTCCTCTTCCTGCACAAATTTGTCCGTAGTATTGAATAGGAGAGTTAGGATTGTTCCTCTTTTTTTTAAAAATAGCATAATTTGTACAGATTTCTGATTTTCAAATGTTGGCATGTATGCTCTACCAATGCGACATCGATGTGATGTCATTGATATTTAGAGAGCTGATTAGGACTTCATGTATTTAGGAGATATAGACATAACATCTGAACGTATATATGATATCACTCAGCTCAATACATTAAAGGTTCCTATGAACGGTTATCGTGCCAAATTTGAAGAAGAGTCATTGTGCCGTTTGCAAGATATGCACATGTTCATATTTGACCAAGAACTATTTCTAAATGCATTTTTTATTTGGGTAAACACATTATATTAGGTCTGGAGGTCTCATCAATTATTGAGAAGCCATCCTGAACTATTAACCTTTGCATTTTAATGACAAAATGACAGTTTTTAGACAAAATTAGGCCTACAGGCACACAACACAAATATTTTGGTAAAAATACTTAAATGGCCTGAAACGTGTGCAAAATAAAATTTGAGATGATTTTGAGCATTCCCTCTTTGCACATGCAGACATTGACTTGCTTGTAAAATTTCTCCAAGTTAACCCATATTATTTGACTTTTCATCTTTGTTTTTCATTTTAACAATTCTTTATCATATGAGTATTGCGAAAACTACTGAGGGATATAAAAATAATAAACATTTATAAAGCGCAGACTCGCAATGCAAATATATTGTTAGTTTTTATTCAAAGCTAAAACTAACTAAATACTTATAAATTATGGATATCATTATTTGTAAATAATGTTTGAACATTCTAAGTAGAAGTTCAAAATAACCTCTCTCTTTGCTTATTTTATTATATAAAAAAACACATTTTAATATAATGTATTTCAAAAACATATGTGAGTATCTCATCATCCCTGATTTTGTACAAAAATCCTATTTTTATATGAATCTTTTGGAAATATAATAAATGTGCCATATTTGTATATGTTTCTATGTTTTTCAAGTACTATAACTTCACGTCCAACTTTCCTTTTAACCAGTAGATTTAATGAAGAAAATGATGTACTTTTACAATTAATGTTATCTTCTATGTACATTCCATGTACATGTACTTGATCATTGTACTATTGTAAACAAGTGTGAAAATCTGAAATGTTAACAAAAATATATATATTTTTTCACTTTCATACATCTCAATTTTATGAAGCATTATTGCCAATCATAATGAGTTGTGTGATGCATAATATATGCTTGTTAATATTTTTTTAAATATATGTACTTGAACTATTTCATTATGGAAATTTATTAAAAATTAAACCAGGTATTTGGTTGATACACTGAAGACATTTTCAGAATCACTTCTTTGACTACCATTGTCAGAATTAGGGTAATTGCTTTTTGTGCCATCCCAAACACCATATCATCATCATCATCATCATCATCATCATCACCATCATCATCATCATCATCATCATCATCATCATCATCATCACCACCATCATCATCATCATCATCATCATCATCATCATCATCATCAACATCTTTATCATTATCATCACCATCATTACACATGTCACATGTGCCTGTTGAAAACAAAATACAAAATGTAGCTCTAACCTTTGGTGCCATAGTTCAATAGTTAATGTTGTTCTTGAGTATCTATTAGAATGGTCTGGTTCATGGTTACCATACTAATACTTTCAATAAAACAATTAAAAAACATAAAAACTTAAAAACACAAAAAGCTTAACGATAATTTTCTTCCTTGCCTAATTTGGTGCACTACGAATTCATGATGATCCCATTATTTCTTGCAAGGATGAACTGATTATAATTATGTTTGGTAGAAGAAGTTAGGGGTCTGAGGTCACAGGATCAAAAAGTTGCAAATTACCTGAAATTACTCGCTACCATGGTAACTTGAAAATCTTTATAGTAATTTAAACTAAAATATTGATATTGATATAGCACATATGAGCACGCATGATTCTACTTTTAGTGTTTTTTATAGAGAACTTAACCATTGTATTAAGGCTGGATTTCCCTTTAATTAGATTGACGTTCTCGTCGGTTTGAGTGAGTTTAAATGAACAAAACCCAATAGTTTTTATCAAAAAAGGTTAAGCTTTAAAACAAAGATTAGTTGATCTAAGTAGTTGGAGTGGTTTGAGGGAGATCTTCGTCTATATTTTGAAGTGTTGAGGCACCGCTAAGGCGTGTATTCAGCGACAGCTGTATGGAATAGGAGACTAGGAGCGTGTCAAAGAGCAATCTAAGAGCAAAATATAACGACGACATTTCAGCAAATATGAATATAGTACGTTTATAATGTTAAAATCTCTCTTATTCTTTCGCTTTCATTCTCCACTTCTCTCTGCTGCCTCTCACCCCTCCTTCCACAAGGCGCTGTCCGATCATGACCATGAAACGGCTTTCAAATGGCCTGATACACTAATACTAAATATTTGTATTGACCCGTTATATTAAAATTCGAGAAAAAAAAAATCAGTTAGAAAGTTATGGAAAGCAAGATAGTGAAACTAGTATGAATATAAAATTATACTGACAATTATTGGTGTAGCCTGTAGCCATAGTTTCTCCTCCGATTACAATTATAATGACGAGTTAATCGCACCGCGGTTAAAATAAACTCCTCTTTGTACTAAACATAAGAAAGGAGTTAATAAAAACAAGAACACCAGGAATCATTTACGTATTCTCTTATATACTAAGGTATCAATAGAGTAACTTTACGACCCTGCTCAAATTCGGTGACAACCTGGAGGGCGTTGATAAAGGACAATGAAACACAACAATCGTATTCAAAATTGTCAGCCAGTGCAAACAATCTTGAAATTACTTGTATTTGATTATTTATGGAGGAAAACAATATAACCAAAGATTGCAATTTACTTGCTAGATATTATTCATGGTAGCAGCCCTTGTGATGATTGAAAAAGTGATGTCAGAGTATATAGTAGTACAACTCGTGAGATACATACTGACCTGCATTTTAGCTATATTGAACTACACTCACCTGTGAAATGCAGCCATATCAATGGTTTCCCTAAGACCATTTTGGTAATTCAGATGAAGGAATATTTGTATCCGTCACATATTGTGACAAAACATTTCATTCTGTTGCTTAGAACAGTAATGTTGAGCAGTCTCTTTTGTTAAAGGTATAGACCAGTTTTGGAAACACCCCCCTCTCAAAAAATGAAATGGAAGCTCTTATTACCAATCATGTGAAAGAATAGGTTTTGACTAATACGTGGGGATACCAATTTTGCCGGGAAACCGCCTACTATAGTTGATATATTTGGTAAATTATTTTATCGATCCGGTCTGAATAGATATCGCGAATGCACTTCAACATTGAACATTTGGGCATATATTTCCGCTTTTTTGCGAATTTAGGTTGAAGTATTGCCATCTAAACTTCTGAAGGCAGTATTTAAACATTGAATGGATATTTTGCACCCAAAACCGGTCTTTACCTTTAAGCTACATTTGGGATGCATTCGTTTATTGGTCAGACTCAAAAGAGTGACGAGTAGGACTGCTCAAACAAATAACCTACAGGTATTTGGCATGCATTGGTAATACGATGGCTGTAGACAGTTTTGCATCGATGGCTCAGGTTGCAAAATAGCCAGTCACTGAGCAACACAATATCCATTATACACAGGTCAATGGGTATCGTACTACTCTTATATCACTATTTTAATCAAGATGGCTACTCCCATGGGAGAATGGCCAGAAACGAAACTGCAATCTTTGGAGAGATTGCTTTCCTCGATAAGTAATCAAATAGGAGATGGTTACAAGATTTTTAAAAACTAACTGACCAATTTGAATTAGGTTATCAGCTAATTTTTTCATTTTTCCTTTCAAGG